ACCCAAATCATCATGTAAGCCCCCAAAAGCCCCAAACAAGACCCCTAAACCCCTAAACCCTAAACCCTATAACCCCAAACCCCTCAACCCCTAAACCCCTAAACCCTAAACCCCTAAAACCCTAAACCCCTAAACCTGCTCGCAATCCGAAGCTCCAGAAGAGCAGATTAGAGTCCCAGAGCTCCCTCAGTCAAAGGGGAAAAGGAGGTACCCTTAATGGGGACCCCTACCCTATAATGGGGCTATATAATGGGTATAGAATAGCTATGTTAAGGGTATATACCTAGGTGTCCTTATTAAGGGTCCCTCCTGTTACCCTTGGACACAGGGATGGCGGCTGCTCCGCCGGCCTCCACGGATCCCTCGCGGGGGCCTCCGGGGTTTCACCCTTTTTCCATGCGTTTAGTTGGGCCATGCAGGTTGGTGGTAGTTTAGGGCTTACCTGGACCCTAAGGAACCTACCTTTTCAGGGTTCCCTAATATGATTTCTTTATATAAGTCCTTAAAAAGGTAGGTTACGTGGGGTTAAGGTAGGGCTTAGGGTCTACTGGGTTGTCCTTTGGGATCTTTTTGATTCCCCTACTATTTTGTAAGAGAACCATAATAGTAAAGAATAGTTCAAAGGCCTTAAAGGACAACTCAGTTTAGGGTTTAGGGTTTAGTTTCCAAGAAGGTCCATAGACACTACTATTTTTAGTTGAGGGTTTAGTTTCCAAGCCCAAACGGTCCCATGTACCGATAGAGTAGAATATGTAGGATCTCCATATTAGGAATTCCTGTTATGACTCAGGGAAGTATCCCCCATAACGGTATATAGGACCCTTTGAGAAGAAGGCCCATATACACTACTAGTGTGGAACTAGGTCCCCAAAGCCATAATGGGGCTGGTCTTTCAGGGCCGAATGCCATAGTGGTAGTACATATGGACCTTCTGGGTTTTTTGTTCTGCAGTCCTAAACGATAAAGCTCAGTTGCCTCAAATCCTAAATCCACGGCCACTTACACTCTAATGGTTTTTTAGGCTCTACGACCCCAAAGTCGGCAACCTCTGCAAGTCAACTAATTGAAAGGCCCACTTGGGGGATCATGGGACCTAGTTACTTACGAGTAGTAAGCAAAGACATAAGTAGCCTAAATGGAGTTGTAAATAATCTTCACTCTTGTTGTTACCTCATTCATGACCATTTTTCTAAGTGCCATGATCCTCTTGGTAGCCATGCTAGTGATTTCGGACCAAGTAACATTTTTAGCATGCACAACTCCGATGAATACTCCTCCCGCCCGCCTTCATAAGCATGCGGTCACTTAGGACTGGTGTACTTAGAACTCTACCCACTTAATTCCTCGAGCCTTCACGTAAGAGCATCGGTCCCCAAACCGTATACCTACACCCCTCCCGAAACCCCTAACCCCCAAACCCCGAAACCCTAAAACCCTAAACCCCTAAGTTAACTTCTAACCCCTGAACCCCTAAACCCTAAAATCCTAAACCCCCAAACCCCTTAACCCTAAAACCCTATGCCCCCAAAAACCCAAACCCCTAAACCCTAAAACCCCAAAACCCTAAACCCCTAAACCCTAAACCTCTAAACTTTCTAAACCCCTAAACCCCTAAGCCTAAACCCTAAACCCCGAACCCCTGAACCCTACACCCCTAAACCCTAAACCCCTAAATCCCTGAACCCTAAAACCCTAAACCCCTGACCCCTGACGCTGTTTTGCCAAAGGACAGCCTTCCGAGCGGATGATATCGTCGAGATCACGGGGCTCCAGGCCGAAACTCCCAGTTGAGTTTTATGCCCAGACCCCCGGGAGGATCAAGAAAGTAGATCCCCTATGTTGGGGCCTATACTACTAAGGGTACTTTATAGGAACCCCCATTAAAGGATCTACTTTTTGGGTCCTGCCGGGAGTCTGGGTAGAGGATGCTCCCAAAAGGTCCAAGTAACAGTATAGTATATACTTTGAGGGTTAAGAATCTACTATAGCCTTCAACGCTTGTGGGGGCCCAAATATAGAAGATGCATCGTAAATCTCAAATCACCCTAATAAAGGGGCCTTTAAAATTACCAATGCTATTTTGTTTTTGTTGTTGTTGGGGGGGGGTGTCCTTATTATAACTGTAGTATACTGGGCCCCAAAACCTTCTTCTAGTTAGTGAGGCCCTTATTTTGTATGCCCCAAACCCGAAACCAAATCCTCAAATCATGATTAGCCAAAACCCCCCTCCGTTGCCAGACCCCACAAAAGGTCCAAGTACCAGTATAGCTCGACTAAGAACATCCCTAACCCTTAACCCTTTTAGGGCCCAAGTATCCATTCAGAACCCTGAACCCTAAAATTAACGCCCTAGAATCCTAAACCCTAAGAATCTACGGTGTTGGTACTTCGGTTGATGGTATAAATCCTGCATGACCTTAAGGACCCTAAACTATGGGAATTATGTTATATTCCTTTTTATGGGCAATGCAGGTTTTTTATCATCAACCGTTGGACCCTGTGGGGCCCTTAGCCCGAGTCTGGGGCTGAACCCTACCAAACGCATGTTTCTGGAGGTCCGGCCGGGCTGTGGCAGTGGGGTTTAGGGTTTCGGGTTTAGGGTTTAGGGCTTTTTATGGTTTAGGGTGTTTTTAGGGTTTAGGGCTTTAGGGGTTTAGGGTTTAGAATAGTTTCTGGGAGTTTCTCTTATTTTTGTAGTACAAGATCCCCGAACGCTGAGTTCAAAGTGTTATAAGACAAAAATTCATGGATCCCTTGAGCGTAACCTCTGAATGAACCTTGAAAGCCTTATTAAAGGAACTTTGTTGGAATCGAATTATTGATATTGCTATTATTACTCATGACTATTACTGTCACAACTATGGTCATGATTATCATCGTTATCATAATAATAAGTATTACTGTTATTATTATTGTCATTGTTATTTTTCTTCTTCTTAATAACGCCCAATAGCATTTAGAAGGGGCCCCCACCCCTGTAATGGTGGTATAATAGGAGTATAATAGGGCCCTAATAAAATCCTTATAGTCCCTATTACAGGGTAGGGGCCGCTTCTAAAATATCATATAGTTTGGGCAAGGTCTGGGGGCTTCCCAAGCTCAGATTCGAGGACCCTTAAACTCCTGAAGCCCAAAGAATACCCGGCTTAGGGTATAGGGTTCCTTTAAGGGGATCTATAAGGGTTCCTTTGAAGGGATCTATAGGGGTTCCTTTCACGGGATCCATAGGGGTTCCTTTAAAGGGGTCTATAAGGGTACTACAAGGGGGCCCTACTTACTAAGTTCCATGGTCCTCCGAGTATAATGAACAAAAAAGAACTGTCCAGTTGTAATAGGGACCTTTTTTCAGTATATAGCTGCTCAGTTGTAGTTCGTGGTTGTAGTATAGGGCTTCTGGTTGTGGTATCGGGGTTCCGGTTGTAGTAGGGACTATTTCCGGGTGGGGGGTTTGATGTAGGAACCCGATTAAGAAACCTTGGGCCTTTATTGGGGTTTCTTATATGAGCCCTACTATTTTGGGGTTACAGGCCCAGGGCTTCTTAAACAGGTTCCTACATTACGTATGTCCCCCCAAGCCCCAAACCCACAAGAAGATCTTCAACTCGCCCTAGAATCTCAAATAAACCCCGAGCCCCTAAAGCCTTAGCCCCCTCTAAGTGCCGCTTTGGAGTCGACTGGTCCTTTGAAGGCCGGTTTCCACTGGTTTTGGTGACCTCTGCTATGGGAGTTTCGGGTTTCGGTTTGGGGGTTGGGGTCTACAGGGGTACCTCATTCATCAGGGTTAGGGTTCGGGGTTTTGGGGGTTTAGGCTTAGGGTACTTCCTTGGCCCTAAGCCCTAAACCGTCTCAGGCTTAAGCCCCCTAAGGTTTGGGTTGTGTCAGTGGTGCCATTTGTAGTAGGGCTTATTTTGCCATTTTGGTGAGTGTAGATAGGGCTCCTTTTGAGTTTTGGTGAGTGTATGTATTGGGTTTTATTACCGGGATACTAGTAATATAAACCATACTCTATTTGGGTTGTGTCAGTGGTGCCATTTGGGACTTTCCGAAAATTAGGGGTACCATATTTGGGGGTCCTTATAATAAGGCCTACCATTGAGGGTACTATAACAGGGTCCCCTATTTTCGGAAACTCCCAACCCTACACCCTAAACCCTTTATAGAACCTTTATTATAGACCCCTTAAAGGAACCCTTAAAGGGTCCCTTATTTTTGGAAACCCCCATACTCAGTGGCGCCAAGATTTTGAACGCATCAGCTGGCGCAGAGAGTCGGGTCCATGTCTGACTAGGTGGGCCTCAAGGGCTGCAAAGTGTAGGTCCTGTTACCCAAAGGGTCCTTTAAGGGTTCCTTTAGGGGTTTAGGGTTCCTTTCAGGGTTCCTTTAAGGGTTTAGGGCTGCAAAGTGTAGGTCCTGTTACCCACTTGGAGGGTCGGAGGACTTAGTAACTGGTTATTTTAGGGACTTATAAGTACCATATCCCCAATTAGGGTCCCTTTTAGGGTACTTATAAGTCTACTTACTACCTACTTACTAAGTCCCCCGACCCTCCAAGCAAAGGGTCCTATGTACTGTTATGGGGGATACTTCCCCAAGTCATAATAGTAATTGCTAATATGGAAACCCTACGGTATATTGGACCCTGTGGGTTAGGGTTTGGAGCCTCTGGGGTAGATTATACTCTAATTCCTGATTACGTATTGGGCTCCGATACAAGTTTAGCGACTTCGGTGGGGTCATTCAGGCTGCCGGACCGGAATCCAAACAGGCTTTCCGCCGCAGGGCATACATATATATATATATATATATACCTATATGTGTATATATACCTATATATATACATACACATACAGATAGATAGATAGATACGGTTTGGGGTTTATCCAGGCTTCGGGCTAAGGGTCTTCATCATGTTCATGGTTTAGGGTTTAGGCGCGGCTTATGCGATGTACCGTAGGGGTGCTTGGAATCCTGATGACCCTGTTTAACACGAACTGTTGCAGATGCGGCAAGAGCTCAATGGGCTTCGTGCGACCATCATCGACGCTTGACTGGAGGATTTTAGGCTTTTGGGTTCTCCTCCATTCCCTACTCTATGAGGAGGTTCAAGGCACTGAAGTAGCAAGCGTAGTCACAGCTATGAGATAAAAAGATACATTAAACAGTTGCAAGCCTACTTACGAAGTCCGCCGATTCCGAAATCTTGTATGCCAAGGAAGTTCATGGGGCGAAATTCTGCATCTAACCAACCTGGGTAAACGCTAAGCCCTGAGCTGTAGCTGGTTGGGAATTCCGGGCACTGGCTGGAACCTAAGGCACTCAATTGGCTGTCACTACGCGGAATTATTATCTGAAACCGCCTAACTAAACCTAAATACGTAGTCATTAGGTCAAGGGACCCTTAAACCCTAGTAGTAGAGTAGGTAACCTTTAGCCTTTTTTCGGTAGTATAGTCCCTATATAATCCCTTTTTAACCAAAAAGGTTAACCTTTAGTTCCCCATGATACCCGACAAGTAGGAAACCCATACAAAAACCTTATTGGAGTCCCCGGAGCCCTTTCTAGAACGCTTCGCAGGACCCTTAACCCCTCATTGTTAGGTCTTTCGACATCCCCAAACCCAAAGCCCTCATCCTAAAACCCTAATCCCTAGTTCTTACTTGGAGGCTCAGGAGACTTAGTAAAGTATCCGAGTTGGGGCCAGAAGTACTTATAACCATAGCTACCTTGTTTATGACCCTAGTTGCAAAGTCCCATGATCCTCTAAGTATACCCGAAGCCCTCAACCCTAGCAGAACCCTAGAGGTCCCTAGAAGCGACCCTTCTTAAACCCTACTTGGCAGATCCGTTGCACTCTTAGGTTAATGAAAACCCTTTAAGGAACCCTTTTAAGCATCCTAGTTACTGAGTCCCGCTTACAGGGTTTGGGTTTTAGGGTCAAGGGCTTCGGGTTTAGGGCTTATAGGGTTTAGGACCCCAGACAGAATGTCCCCAACCTTGAAACCCTAAACCCAAACTCCAAGCTAAACTACGGAAGTGCAGGGCTTGCACTTCCCAGACTCTAAACCTAGACCCTGTACCATAACCTAAACCCCGAAGTTTAAAGCACGCACTTCTCAACCCTAAGGTACCCAGACCTTCCCAAATCCCCTAATCGAGGAATATCCCTGAAGTCATATTTGGTATCCTACTATATTGTGAGGTATATTCCTCAATTGAGGCATATCGGAAGGTCTGGGTACTTTAGGGCCTCTAGGGTTTAGGGTCTTTAGGGCCCGAAACCCTAAACTCTAAACCGTTTCAACTCCAAGGCTGTGCTTGGAGCTGTGTCACTGCACTGAGGATTGGTCCGAAGCAGAAGAGCGGTGGCGGGTGCCTCCAACTTGCACTGTTCTGGGTTTAGTATTTTAAGGGTTCGCGGTATAGGGTTTAGGGTTTAGGGTTCACGGTTTAGGGTTTAGGGTTACGGTTTAGGGTTTACGGTTTGTGGTTCAGCAGTTGCCGTTTACGGTTTTTGGTAAGTGACGGTTTGTTCGCATGGCCTGTAATCCGCACACCATGATGGCCGAAAGCCCCAAACCCTGGACCCTTCAAAAGCCTTGCAAAGATTGAGAATTGCAAGGTGCAGTTCTATAAGTCTCTATGTGTCACTCAAAGTGGTCGGTAGCGGTCTTTCCAGGTTAATATGCTGGTTCTACAAAGGGCCTTCTAACCTAAACCCTAAATGCCCCAAACTCTAGTCAGGCTGGACAACAATATCTCGATCTGTCGGAGCTTTGAAAGCTGGCTACCCCGAACAACCTGGCTGGATAACAGCGTCTTAGTCTTGAGGACCAGCAGCTTCATAGATGTCGGAATTCGAAACCAAGCATATGCGCCCTTGACGCAGAGTTTTCGGTCACTTCCAGATCGCCCAGCCCCCAGGCTCGAGTTACCTAACTAGCCCAGACCCCCGGGAGGATCTAGAAAGTAGATCCCCTAATTTGGGGACCTATGCTGTTAAGGGTACTTTATAGGAACCCCCATTAAGGGATCTACTTGTTGGATCCTCCCGGGGGTCTGGGTACTTATATGTTATATCCCCCAGTAACCCATCGTTTAGGCAATAGTCGTTTACTAGCCATGTCTGTGTTATGTACCCCAGCAACCCACCATGTAGGTAGCTGGAGCTAGGGCAATGCCACGGACTAGGATGCCCAGTAGTACCCTTATCCCCTTTCTGCAGTCCTAGGTTCCTTATAAAGTTACCCAATACCAAAAAGGGAGCCCGTTTTATTCCTGGGTAACCCTAAACCCTAAACCCTAAACCCTAACCCTAAACCCTAAACCAAAACCAAAACCCTGGGTTACTGGGCATCCTAGAGAAAGAGCGCTGAGTTCGGCGGCTCAGACTCGAGCCAAAATTCGAGTCAGGGTCCAAATAGCTACATAGCTTTCTTTAAGGTCTCCTTCAAGGGTGCCATAAGGTTTCTAAAAGGGTTCTATAGGGTGAGGGCCTAAGGATCCATGTACCTGAATAGTAATTATGTACGTTGGCCTTAAAGCATAGGGTTTAGGGTTTAGGGTTTAGGGTTCTACATATATATATATATATATGTGCTTTGGGGTCAAACAGAGTATACTGTTTGGGTACATGGACCATTAGGGCTTTGTGGTGACCCCCCTGAAGTTGTCGATTGGCCTCATCAAGCAAAACGCTGAGGTCAGAAGCCAGACCCTTGATCCCTGAACCACTCCAACAGGTGTTCTAAAGGAAGAGAGACACGCCGTCATTGCAGCAGAGGATCACAAACAGGCGGTGGAGTCCGTGTACACGAAAGCCGTGTTGGAGAGCGAAGACACATCGCCAAATCTGCATGGCATGCCAGAACCCTTCGCATAGTGGATACAATGGAGCGAACAATCGAAGTACTGACGGATTGTGTCAGGCTTGAGAACATGGGTAGAGTCCCTGACGACGACGGTGCCCAAGTCCGTCCTTACCGGAGAACCGAAAACCCGAAACCCTGGACTTTTGGAAAGCCTTGCAAAGAGTGAGGATTGTAGGGGTTCAAGGTTAAGGTTCATGAATGCATGCTCACGGCAGGCAGAGGTTCTGGCAGAGGTCATAAGGAAGGGGCCTGGTTGGATTGAAATCAGAGGGTTCCCCAATTTCACGATCGACAGGCGTCCGGAAACCTCGCTCACCCCTATGCCCTAAGCACCTTAGCCCACACCAAAAGGAATTACCCGGGTTCCTATACCATATAGGAGCTGAAGTAAGCACCTATTGCAAATAGTGTCCTTCCTGAGGCTTCCTTCTCAGTTTGTTCGACTCACCAAGATCACGATAGGGTTGCCCTCATGCTTGGAAGATAATGGGACTTAGTAAGTACCTTAATTGGAGGTATATATGTAGATACAACTAGAGTTACCTTGGTTATAACCTTAGTTACTACGTCCAATGATCCTCCAAGTACAAAGCGCCTACGCCAAACTCCGGTTGCCGTTTGGAGGTGCCGAGGGTTACCCTTGTAAGGCTCTAAGGACTCATAGTTTAAGGCTTTTGGGACTAAAGACCATATTATATAAGGCTTTTGGGCCATTTTGAGCCTTAGGGTTCGGTGTTGGGGCCCCCAAGCCCTAAACTGGGAAAAACACCCGCGGAGGACATTCCTCTAGGTACACCGAAAAAGCTAAACCCTAAACCTACAACATTTGGAACCCTAAATCCTAAGCCCTAACCTTAAGGGAATTTCTTTGTAGGAAAATCCCCTGGGCATCAAAATCGCCCAAAAGCCTTATAGAATATGGTTTTTGGGCCCAAAAGCCTTAATATATGAGTCCTTAGATACCTAGGGATCTACAGCACCGAGGTGCTCCTGGAAGACAGCACGGGGAAGATGCTTCGGACGGAGCATTTGGTGCTGGTTCGGCGAGCGCGAGGCTTTAGGGTTCAGGGCCCGGAATCTTCTGTTCTTTGGAGTTCAGTTGGGGAATAAGGGTTGAAGGGTCAGGGGTTCAAGGTATGTAGGGTCTGATTAGGTTTTTTTGAGTTTTAGGGCGTCCTTGGGTTAGCAATGCATTAGGGTTTAGGAGTCTGCAGAGTATCGCGGAACTGGCACGTGCGTTGCCATTTGGGCCATCATTTCCACAGTCGGGGTTTCCTGTTGAATAACAAAGTAATTTCAGATCAGTAGTCTACTTGGGTTTAGCACTCAGACGTATAGCACTTAGTGGTTTGGAGCTTCGGGTAGATAAAACTTCTAGGATGCCCAGTAGTACCCTTAGTCCCTTTTTGTAGTCCTAGGTTCCTTACAAAGGTACCCAATGCCAAAAAGGGAGCCCTTTTTTCCTAGGTTACTGGGCATCCTAGACTTTGTATGTTGATGCAAACCTATCGGCTCCTTGCAGCACCCACAAAGGCTCTTAAGTCCGCAAGCACCTACCGGAGCCAAAAAAAGATGCTCAAACCTTAAGCCCGTAAACTGTTTCCAGCCCAAAATAAGCTTATAAGCTTTTTGTACCCCTTGGCCCTACACCCCAAAGCCCGAACCCTAAGCCCCCAACATTTTAAACCCCAAACCCTAAACCCTAAACCCGAAACCGCAAGCAGAACCTTCGCCGCCGCCGCCAGCGGGCATTTGGACGCCCCAGTGGAAGGCTCCGGGAGGGTTCTGCCCTCGGCTTTTCTTGGTTCAGGGTTTAGGGTTTAGGGCTGTATAAGCCATCTGGAAGCGTCGGAGGACTGTGTAAGTACTATAGTCTCCTTAGGAATTGTTTTTTCATTTTTGTTCATATAGAACCCAAGAGAATATTGAACACATTGGTATTATTATGCTTCTAAGGTGTCTAAGTACCTGGATTGGAGTCATCAGTAATTCGGTAAAGCTGCGTTATTTACAACCCTGGTTTCTAAGTCCCATGGATCCGGTAAGTATATGTCCACCGGGAGGATCTAGAAAGTAGATCCCCTAATTTGGGGCCCTATACTACTAAGGGTACTTTACAAGAACCCCCATTAAGCGATCTACTTTTTAGATTCTCCAACAGGGGTTTGGGTATGGTTATACTACCCTATTTCCCAAGCCACTGTTCAAGTGATTAAGGCCCCTTAACCCTAAACCCTAAACATCTAGTGACTAATCCCTCAAATGTCGCCTATGGATCCCTGTTTGGAGGATCATGGGACTTGGTAATTAGGGGTACAAACAAGGTAACTAGAGCTCTAATTGCACAATACCCCAATAAAGGCGCGTGTAACCTTACTACATAAGTTCCCTGATCCTAAACCCTAAACCCTTATGCTACCCCTCCAGACTCCCTTAAAGGCACCCTTAAGATAACCCCAATTACTATACTCAGTCCCCTACGGTATCTCCTACGCAGAGAGCCCAATACCCCTCAATTAAGGAATATAGCTTAAATCATAGTATGAAGCCCTGTATAATTTAAGCCATCTTCCTTAATTAAGGGGCCCCTTGGGCTCTCTTAAACCCTAAACCTTATAGAACCCTTAAAGGATCCTTTTAAAAGGAACCCTAGGCATTCCTTAATTAAGGGGTATTGGGCTCTCTGGGTACGGTATATGTCCATCGGATCGGCGACCTGGAGGTTCGGCGTAAACCTCCAGGTTTGGGCTTCGGCTCTCAGGTTTAGAGCTTAGGGTTTAGAGTTTAGGGTTTAGGGTTTAGGGTTAAGGGTTTAGGTTTTAGGGTTTAGGGTTTAGGGTTTTGGGTTTAGGGTTAAGGGTTTAGGGTTTTGGGTTTAGGATTTAGGGTGTAAAAAATTAGGGTTTTGGGTTTAGGTTTAAGGATTTAGGGTTTAGGTTCCAGCCAGTCTGACATTTCATGTTGCAAGTCGTTACAACCGTGAGCGGAACCGAAAGCCGAGGTACTGTCTTACACAACCAACTTGCGATTTGGGAGCTTCCGGAAATCACGGGTACCTTATTCTTGGGTCCTTATAATAAGGGTCCTGCCATTTAGGGTGTTATATTAGTGTCCCCTCTTTTCGGAAACTCCCATTTCGGGCTGAAGGTTCAGATTTCAAGTTTTGGAATTCATAGTTCTTTGAGATTTTTGAGGTGAAGGTAGTTAAGTTTGGTGTTAGTTTTTGGACAGGTTGGAGCTTCAAGAGTTTAAGGCTGAACATTACCTACTATTTGCTTAAGAAACACCAAAACAATAAAAATAATAATCCCTATATTACCCCCATAAGGAATATATGGTTTATTTTTTGGGGGTTCTTAAGCAAATAGTAGTTACCCTTTGGACCCAATATTTAGGTACTTCGGTTTTGGATGGTGGCTATGCAGGTTGCTTTGTTTTGGAGAGTATATTATAGTTAGGTACTTGGACCCTTAGTGTTAGGGTCTAAAGACCTTCTAGACCCAAGAGTAAAATTGGAATGACAAGGGTGCCCTTTTTTGCTTTAAAGGGGCTTATAGGGGAACCTGAACCCCACAAAAATGGAATAAGGGCTGCTCTAGGTCGTAGTCTTCTACCTGAAAGCATGCTTGAGATGACTGTTTAGAAAAAAACCCCAACCCGAAACCCTGGTTTAGGCCGTGTCGGCTGGCAAAAGTGGGAGTTTCCAGTTGGCTAGGGGGTTCCATCCATGATGCAATCTGTCCCCTACCGGAACCTTCAAAAACAAACATCTAAAGCCCCCTTCCTGACATTGCTGAGGTACGCCATTTCCTTAGCGCCCGGTGACCGTGTCCGGGTAAAGCTGCAGGCTCGACGGTGTGAGTCTAATTTTTGCTGGGGGTTTATAGAGTTTGGGGTCTACATATGCTTGCGAGGCCCCTAAACCCTAAACCCTACACCCTAAACCCTACAAGCCCTATGAACCCCTAAACCCTATAAACCCTAATCCCATAAACGCTAGAACCCTTAAGCTTCCATCCCTGGCCCAAAGGGTCCAAGTATCATTATGGTATATACTTATAGGGTATTTTGGGGGTCTAAGTATATACCATAATGATACTTGGACCCTTTGGGTGGATCTAGTTGGGGTTTGAGGTGTGGGGCCGGGGCCTCCATGCTTGGATGACTGCCGAAACCAGGGGCCCGCACCTCAAACACGACGGTGTGCCACATAGGGCCTATAGTGGTTCCTTTAAAGGGATCTATAGGGGCCTATAGTGGTTCCTTTAAAGGGGGTTTAGGGTTTAGGGTGATGATATAAATCCTGCATTACCTTAAGGATCCTAAACTGTGGGAATTATGGTGTATTCTTATTATGGGTCATGCAGGATTTATATCATCAACCGCAGTATGTGCGCCCCTCCCGGCTGGGAGCCCCCTACTACTCCTCCGCGTCGCTTGGGGGTGCGCGCACCGGGACCAGGGGGGCTGCCGGGGACAGCACAGCGGCCAAGGCTGCTGCCGCACCCGGATTGGCGGGTGAGGGTTTAGGGTTTATAGGGTTTAGGGGGGGTTTAGGGGTTTTGGGGGTTTGGGGTTTAGGGTTTAGGGGTTTAGGGGTTTAGGGGTTATGGGTTTTGGGTTTAGGGGTTGTAGGGGTTTAGGGTCACTGAGGAGCTCCTGGGACGTGTGTTGCCCTGCATCTGCATCGTCCGGCTCAATATGGGTAGTTGTCAAAACTACGGCCCCTTTTTGGGTACCCTAAATATTAGGTGCCGTACTATATTAAGGACCCAAAAAGCGACCCTAATTTTGACAACTACCCATATAAGGGCAGCTAACACTGGAAGCGGTGGGGCAGTTTGCGCAACTCCTTGAACCCCCCCACCACACACCTGATTGATTCACAAGCCCACTTCCCTGTCAGATGCAATCCTAGCAGGATCACGGAAGTAAGCTTCAACATGAAACGAGGCGAACTTAGGGGGCCCACTCTAGGGGCCCACGGATGTAATCTTTGATCAAAATTGGTCGATACGATTATGGTTCATATGGTTATACCTCCCCCTTATTTAGTTTTTATCACCCTAGTTTCTAAGCCCCTAAACCCCTAAACTCCTACGTCTTTTCAGCCCAGAAGTCCCATGATCCTCCAAGTCAGCCTGAAGCCGATGTCCTAAACCCGAAACCCCGAAGCCTAAACCCCAAAGACCTAAACCCTAAACCTCTGAACCCCTAAACCCTGAAGCCCGTGACCTCTGAACCCTAAACGCCTAGATCCCAAACGCCCTAAACCCTAAACTCCCTAAACCTCTAAACTCTAAACCCTAAAGGCCTAAATCCCAAATGCCCTAAAGCCTACACGCCTAAAGTCAGCCTGAAGCCAAAGATCTTCAGGAGGCACCTCTCCTGGAAGATCGCGAAGGCGGACACATTCTCGCCCTGCCTTTCCTTAACTAGGTAGGGCTTTGGGACAGTTTATATTTTCCCTTATTGGGCTTAAGAGGGTCACTAATATTTTTCAAAAGCTTTAAAAGCCCCACATAGTTAAGGGCTTCCCACTTAGATAGTGAACGGGGGAACGTTAAACTTTTGTGGCCTTGTATATTAGCTCTATCTTAGAAAGTTTGAACTTTTTGGGGCCCCGTTGTTGACGAAGAGAGTGCATGAGGGATCCTTAAAGGGTTCGATAAGGAATCTATAGGAGTCCGATAAGGAATCCATGAAAGGTTCTTGATCCTGAAAGGGTTCCATAAGGGATCCTTGAAGGGATCTTTAAGGTATCCCGAAAGGGTTCTACAAGGGATCTATAGGGATTAAGGGTCGACTGGGTGCCCGCGTCGTACCCCTTTGGCCTTGCCCTGTTATACTTTGGGGCCTCCTCCTTAAAATAACCGAATACTACCAACAAGGTACCCGTATTATTGAGGGGCTACTGTGGAACCTAGTTTGGGTTTGGTGTTGGGTACGGCCCCCGCTCAATCATAGTTGAATAATCTTCATAACATGGATATACTAGGACCTCAGCAGTAGCCCTATTGTAGGCTCTTACTGCAAGGGGGCAGTGCCTAAGGTTTGGTGTTTAAAGGATAGGGTTTGGGACTTAGGGTTAGGTGGTTGGGGTTTCGGATGCATGTTCAGTGTTCAGTGTTTCGGTTATGTCAGGACCTAACCCAAAGGCTCCATGTACCCATATAGTATATACTTAGGCCTACAAGGGGCCCATATATATATATATATATATATATATATGAGCGACAGGCTAAACTCTCTGAATAGCTACACTGTGGGCGGGAGGATTAGCAACAGATCCTTGCATGTAACAGCTCGGCTCGTGTCGGCCGCGATAACCTGTATGCTGAGGGATCGATATCGGGTTTGTATGGGCCGCGATAACGTGAAATACCAAAAACGATAACGCGATCGTTTGCTGCTTTCCAATGCAAACATGAAGGAATGAGCAAGCTCTGCTCAAGTGTAATTGATTTTCAGGTTTTGGTAGGGTGTCCACATAGTGTCGAAAACGATAACGTAACGATAACGACTTTGCAGCAAAATGTAGTCTTGGCAGTCCATGGCCCAAAATGCCTCCGACAGAGATCGGGGTTTGCTGCTGCTCCCGCTCCTGCTTCTGCTCCTGCTCCTGGTTTTGCTCTCCTCCTCCTCCTCCTGCTACTACTACTGCTACTACTGCTACTACTACTGCTACTACTGCTACTACTGCTACTACTGCTACTATTGCTACTATTGCTACTACTGCTACTACTGCTACTACTGCTACTACTGCTACTACTGCTACTACAGCTGCTACTACTACTACTACTACTACTACTACTACTACTACTACTACTACTACTACTACTACTACGACTACGACTACTACTACTACTACTACTACGACTACGACTACTACTACTACTACTACTACTACTAGCTACTACTACTACTACTACTACTACTACTACTACTACTACTACTACTACTACTACTACTATTCTACTACTTCTACTACTACTACTACTACTACTACTACTACTACTACTACTACTACTACTACTACTACTACTACTACTACTACTACTACTACTACTACGACTACTCCTACTACTACTACTACTACTACTACTACTACTACTACTACTACTACTACTACTACTACTACTACTACTACCACTACTACTACTACTACTACTACTACTACTACTACTACTACTACTACTACTACTACTACTACTGACTACTACTACTACTACTACTACTACTACTACTACTACTACTACTACTACTACTACTACTACTACTACTACTACTACTACTACTACTACTACTATTTGGTTGAGCACAACATCACAAAGCATGCAGTTCAGCTTGACTGGCCCGCGATAACGTGAAATACCAACAACGATAACCTATGTTGCTAAGCCGCGAAAGTAGTCTTAGGTTTTGCCGCGCGCTCATATACATATATATATATATATGTATCTTAGGGCCAATGTATACACTACTTTATTCATGCATGGAGCCTGAGGGAAGGACAACCTGAAAATGGTTTAGGGTTTATAGGACTTGCGACGAATTTGTAGCAAAGTCAGAAATAATAGGGGAGCTACTTTCCAGATCGTCTTGAGGATCTTGTTTGGGATACCCTGCTGCTCCGAAACTGCAGTCCCAACCAAACATTGCCTTTTTTGCTGCTCAGTCGAGTTTTGCGACTAACTCTATAGAGCCCAGACGAAGCTATATCGTCTATTGTATATTTTCTTAATACACTAGGACCTAGAGTGGGCCCTTTTCCCTTTTTGTAGGCTTCAGGTTCCCTTATAAGCCCCTTTAAACCAAAAAGGGCACCCCTTTTATTCCTAGGTTACTCTTGGGTCTAGTATAAACAAAACCTTACAAGGTAGGGAACTAGGACCCTATTATAGTACCCTAACTACGGTTGATGATATAAATCCTGCACTACCTGAAGGACCCTAAACTACGGGAATTATGGTATATTCCTTATTATGGGTAATGCAGGGTTTATATCATCAACCTTAGTAGGATCCTTAACATAAGGACCCAAGCCTCCATACCTAACCTAACCCTAAGACTCCAAGTATACAAATAGTACCTACTTTGGGGCCTAAACGCTATAAATACTACCTACTTTGGGCTATTTGGAGTCTTAGGGTAAGTTACCCAAGACCGTAACAAGCATGGTATAGTTTGACGTCGAAGCTGTCCCACGCAAGCTAGTTCCCCGAAGCCCCAAAAAAATCCATGTACCTACATCGTATGGGCTCCCAAAGGGTCCTAGGTACTGTTATGGGGGATACCTCCCCAAATCATAGTAGTAATTCCTAGTTCAAAAACCCTACATCCCTGGTCGTTCAGGCAGAGGCCGGACAGTTCGAACTTCAATATTTCCAGTGTCAAAGGGGAAAAGGAGGGACCCTTAATGGGGACCCCTACCCTATAATGGGCTATATAATGGGTTTCTTATAGCTATATTAAGGGTATATACCTAGGGGTCCTTATTAAGGGTCCCTCCTTGTCCCCTTGGACACTGCTTCTTTCGGAAGGTTCAGGGGTGGAATTCCTCTGTGACTTGGAGCCCCAGCCTTCGCGATGAACTGCCAAAATAGGCGGCCAAATTCGTGGAATAGGCTCTTATGAGGTAGTCTTATTCTGAAAGTTTGAACTCTTAAGCCTTGGAGTTTTTGGGAAGTAAGATTACGGTATGATTAGATACTATATATGGGGACTAGAAGGGGCTACTGCTAGCCTTGCTGTATTCATGTATGGGCCTCAATAATTAGAACAGGGTTTTAGGGGTTCCTTATTATACTTATTGCAGTAGGGCAAGCCCTATTCTAATTATTAAGGGCCCTATACTACGTATGCGGAAACGGCTTGCTGGGTTTCTAGCTATGGTGCCTCTAGGTGTGCCACGGGGGCTTACGAATTTTGACCTTGAACACACTTGGGGTTACTGGAACAAGATATAACATCTCAGCAGTTGCTATTGGTAACGAACCTTCGCGTGTTGTAATTACTGTGTTGACCTTGTCATTATGATGTTTTATGTTGCTTGTTCAGGGCTGTTGAGTTTCGGGCTTACTGCATTGCGGATTGCTCTGCTCTTGATCACGTTCGGATTTTCAAGCGCTAAATCTTGTGGTTTAGGGCTCCGAGTTTTTTGGGGCCCCAAACAACCACCAAGCTTTGTGTTGCTGTTGCCCTAATTCCTAAGCGCCCAAATTACTGTTGATGATGTAAATATCCTGCCTTACCTTCATGACCCGAGACTATGGGATTGATGGTATAGTCCTTATTATGAGACAATGCAGGGATTTATATCATCCACCCCGAAAGCACTAAAACCCAAAACACCCCTAGAACCCCAACACTTCCACCTTGAACCCTCCAAGGGAACCCTAAAGGAACCCTTAAAGGAACCCAGCCGTACCCCCGAATCGCAAGTCGCTTCCGCGATCCTCAGGTGTGATCGTCCGATGGGAGCCCGATCTCAACAAGTGGAAGGTGGGGGAGCTTAAGGTTTAGGGGTTTAGGGCTTAGGGTTTTATATGGGTTTAGGGTTTAGGATTGCGGGTTCAGGGGAGCCCCACGATGTAGGAACCTGATTACGAAACCTTGGGCCCTTAGTGGGGTTCTACATATGAATCCTACTACTTTGTACTTATAGGATCAGGGTTTCTTAATCAGGTTCCTGCATTAGGGCTTTAACCTGTAATGTAGAATAGGGGTTGGGGTATATTATACTATAACAAGTAACCCCTTGAACCTCTTCCCTACATTATGGACCCATAGGCGCCATCTAAGCTGCACTTGGAGGATCAGGGGACTTAGTATAGTAATTGGGGTTATCTTGAGTGTGCCTTTGAGGGAGTCTGGAGGGGTAGCATAAGGGTTTAGGGTTTAGGATCAGGGGACTTATGTAGTAAGGATAGAAGTACCTTTATTGGGGTTTTGTGTAATTGGAGCTCTAGTTACCTTATTTGTATCCCTAATTACCAAGTCCCATGATCCTCCGAACTGGGATCCATAGGCATCATTTGAGGGATTAGTCGCTAGACATAGGGGATTTAGGGTTTAGGGGCCTTAATCACTTGAACAGGGGCTTTAGGGAAATAGGGTAGTATAACCAGCCTTGCCGGATTGCCTGATCATACAATAGCACCAGCATGCAGTGACTATAAGGCTATACGGAGATACTTATACCACATAGTATAGGGGCCGAAATAATTACCTATACTATGTTGGGGGTTGCTTTTGTGTAGTTACAGTATAACGGGCCCGAAAGCCCTATTCTAGTTATTAAGGCCCCCATATTATTCAGACCGGCCCCCATTCCCCAGTTGGGAGTCAAAGGTTTGGGGCCTTCCTGACTTACCACAGTGTGATGCGCATTGTGATTTAAATCCTGCATTACCCAGCCATAATCAGGACTATGCCATAATTCCCATAGTCAGGTAATGCAGGATCTATATTATCAACCGGATGCGGATTATAGTTCCATTCGGGCGACTCTTGACTATAGGTACGCAGTAAGACGCATGAACCAGCTTCTGCAATAAGTTCAGCAAAAGCACCCGAATTCGTCTCTGCTGTTCTTAGTAGCTGGGTAGGTATCCTTCAGGTAAGCCTTCTTGGATTTGTATCATCCCAGCAAAGTTGACAAGGTCAACCTTCCTGGGGCTAGGGTATTCAGCCCGCAAGTGTGTCTGCTTACTACTTGACCCCGATCCCTTCGGTATACACATGCGAGGCTCTAAACTCGAAACCATGAACCCTAAAACCTGCACCTGAAGCCCAACATCTTTGAACCTGGTTAGCCATGAACCCTCAACCTTAGATTGTCACCCCACTTTTGTAACTAGGATTATAAGTAAGGTAACTCTAGCTATAAATACTTATAACCCCGATTTGGGTACTTATAACCTTACTAGGTCCCCTGATCCTCCAAGTAGACCCTAAACCCTAAACCCTTATAGTGCCCCTCTAGACCCCCTTGAAGGGACCCTTCAGATAACCTCAATTACTATACTAAGTCCCATGATCCTCTAAGCAAGCCCAAATTCCCGGAACACTTGGCTCGCTCCTTCCCAAAAGACTGTCTGGTTCTTAGTAGGGCATGGGGGAATGGATTATGGAGACTTTAGGGTTTAGGGCTTTGGGCTTAGGGTTTCGGGTTTAGGGTTTTAGGGTTTTAGGGTCTGGTTCTTAGTAGGGAATGGGGGAATGGATTATGGAGACGATTACTGGGGGATTATATGGGGACTACTATAGGAATCCATTCCCCCGTTCCCTACTAAGCACCAAACAGGGACTAAAGATACCCGAAGACCCTTTTTAGAGCCCTTATAGGACCCTTTCAAGGAACCCTTAAAGGAACCCTTTCAAGGAACCCTTATAGGACCCCTTAAAGGAACCCTTATAGGACCCTTTCAGAATCCTTAAAGGAACCCTTAAAGGAGTCCTTAAAGGAAGCCCTAAAGGAACCCTAAACCCTAAACCCTTATAGGAACCCTTAAAGGAAGCCTTCCCTACTAAGCACCCGAAAGAAGATGAGGTCCGGTTCAGCAACGGCAGCTGCGAGCTGCTGGCACAGACCAGCCTAGAGCCCATGGAGGACGATTTGGGCCTCCGGTGGTTTTTTAGGGTTTAGGGTTGTCTTTATTATAGGATACCCAAAAAAGGACCATAATTTTGACAACTACCCATATAGGTGCTCAGAACAATTAGCTACATTATTGTGGGGTTCCTTGCTATGGACTCTAGTCCTCCAAGGGTTTAATATGGGTGGTTCTCAATATTAGGGTCCCTTTTTGGGTCCTTGTTTTAATACGGCACCTAACATTTAGGGTACCCAAAAAGGGGCCATATTTTTGACAACCACCCATATAGGTGCTTAAAATATTATTGTGGGGTTCCTTACTATAGTAATAGTATAAGCGGCCCCCAAAACCCTATTCTACTTATCACGGCCCTTTTTGTTTGGCCTCTACGGAATAAGGGCGTGGGCTAAACCCTAAACCCTAAACCGGGCTCAGGGAAGAGGCTGTTGGGTCAGATGAGGGCTGTGGGGCTCCAAGGTTCTAGGGTTTGAGGGTTTAGGGCCTAGGGTTTAGGGTTTTAGGGTTTAGGGCTTAGAGCAGGGTTAGGTGGGTCTGTGAGACTTAACTGCTGTCTTTTTCGTAAAAAATGTAGTTGTGTCTACCCGATCAAACCTATTTAGGTGCCTGCCAATGTAGAAAACCGAGCCGACATAGAACCCTGTAAAGGCATCCTTCATAGAAGCCATATTCTTATGCCCGCCCAGATGTGACCCCTTACAGCACATATTGTAGTAGAAGCCAGAAAGTTAGAACATCATTATCTTCATGCCCTTGGCATATCACGATCCAGCAGCTCCAGTGCCAAGGACGATCACGAGCGGCATAGGGCACAGGGATGTGTGTTTGTGCCCCCACCCCCCTCTCCTCGCCTCGAAACGGAGGTGAGCCTTCGGCGCGCGCTCAATGCATCGAATGACAAGAGGCGAGCTCAGGCGGATGACCTCAGAAGCCGAGCTGAGAGGGTCTTGGGCGAGCAGAAGAAGGCGATTCAGTCCCTGGAACAGGGGCTCAACCCGGCCCCCAAGAGGGAGGACATGCTCAAGGAGTCCATCCAGAAGAAGAAGAAGAAAGGGTTGAAAGATCGGGACCGAACTCGAGACCTGTCTCCAAAGCAGCAGTCTGTTGGGCCCCGCTTCCATGAAGCCTGCGGGCTGGACTTTGTCACTCCTCTGACGATGGGCTGAGCCTCCTTCAGTCTCAACAAGGCCCAGGCCTCAAGTGCCAAGAATGCGGAGTTGTCCGGCATGTTGGTGGAGTTTGTCAAAATCTCCCTTAAGGAACCCGTATAGCAACCATAGTCACCCTAAGCCCTAGGCCCTAAGCCCCAAAGTAGAAACTCGAAAAGTTACCCTTGTAGTGGCCCGACCTTAAGGAAACCTTGTAGACACCCTTTTCCAGCAACAAAAGGGCCACAACTACATGAGTTATAGGATCCTTAAGGGAGGGTGGTTCAAGGGGGGAGGGTATAAGGAATCCTTAGGGGACTGTAAGGGAACCTTAGGGAGTACTAGAGAGGATTAGGGATCACTAGGCTATATACCCCCCTTGGACCCCCCTCCCTTAAGGATACTACAAATGAGCCATTCAGAAGTTTCAGTGCGAACCATGGGCTCCCTGCTGAAGCCGGTTCCCAGATTAGGGCGTGTAGGGTTTAAGGTTCAAGAGTCCTAACCGTTATAATCTTAGGGTTTGGGGCTTCTACGGTTCAGGTGACCCAGCATAGGGTTTGAAGGTTTGCTTAAGGTTTAGAAGTAATAGGGTGTCTTCGTTTGGGAAACCCAGAGCCTAAGGCCCGTAGATTCCGGCTGTAACATTGGGACAGATTTTGACAACCGCGCGAGGATTGGAACGTTCCAGGCCCTTCGCCGGTTTAGGGTTTAGGGTTGACAGTGTTTTTCTTGAGCTCTTGGCACTGAAGCCCTTGACCCTGATCTGAAAATGGTTGTTGAGGAATATGTATATTTACCCTAAACCCTAAACCTTAGCGCTGAGCACGAAGCCTAACTTCTTTCACCCAACCCAGACAGTTTCTTCAGTTCGAGAGGTTCTGAAAGAGGGTTTTGGGTTCAGGGTTTCAAGGTTCACATGCCTTGAGTTGGACCCTTGTGGACTACTACTATCAACACCTACTCTGCCTGGAAGAATGAAGGGAATCAACAAGAGGTCCTTCCCCCCCAAAATGCCCTGAATCTATTAGGGCACCTTCCTACTATTTAGGGTGCTATATGAGGGTCCCCTATCTTCGGAAACTCCCATATATCGGATTGATTAGACAACTGAAACTACATGGTCTGTCTAGCGGAGGAATTAATCCATGGGAATAAACTCATGATACTTAAATGTTCCGGACAGAGGACTGTAGGGGAGGAATCTAAATAAGAGGAAAGGGGGGTTTGCAAGGTGTTGACGACCACTTGGAGGATCATGGGACTTAGTAAGTAAGGTTATAAGTACCCTAATTGGGGTTATAAGCAATTATAACTATAGTTACCCTATTTATAGCCCCAATTACTAAGTCCCATGATCCTCCAAGCAACATGCGAGAGTGCGACGAAAGCTCATGCCCTCCGAGTCTGTAAACCCCGGCAGCTGAAGCCTAAACCCTAAACCCTAAACCCTAAACCCTAAACCCTAAACCCTAAACCCTAAACCCTAAACCCTAAACCCTAAACCCTAAAACCCTAAACCCTAAAACCCTAAACCCTAAACCCTAAACCCCAAACTTGGCAGTTCCTTCTCGGGACCCAAAGAAGCCCCTACTCTGATAACCCTGGGGACCAAATGACCCTCATAATTAGGGAGGGTTTAGGGTTTAGGGTTTAGGCCCTATGCCCTTATGCTATGAATCCCTAGATGGTATATGAACCTTAAACCCTTTTAGGGTTCATTTCGTCCTTAAGGAATTCAGGTGCCCAGTAGTACCCATATTCCCTTTTTGTAGTCCTAGGTTCCTTGTAAATGTTACCCACTACCAAAAAGGGAGCCCTGTTTATTCCTCGGTTACTGGGCATCCTAGACTCTGATAATTCAGGTGCCCATAATATCGGCAATGCCCATGTTCCGAGTTGTTTCTCCACACATATACAAACTCATTCTCATGTAGCCTCAGAGCCTAAACTCTAAACCGCCAACGCCCTAAGTCCTAAAGCCCCAGTAGTTAGAACCACAAATCCGAAGCGATGAGCCTCAAAAGCCCTAAACCTTAATTCAGCAAAAAGCACCGAATCCCTCTGGAAAGCTCATAAAGGTCCATGTACCTGATAGATATTTTGGCCTTAAGGGCATTCCTATTTAGGTGGTTTAGTATCAGACTCCCTTCCGACACCTAAACCTTAGACACTACACTTCTTCGGTACCTGGTAGTATCCGGCAATGTCAAAGGAACCGGTGAGGCACCCCGATGTAGATGATATATTCCCTAAGGGTCCATGCACCCAAATAGCGTACACCTTGGCCTCAGAGTACCTATATAGGGACCTTTAAGGCCAAGTTTTTTTACTATTTGAGTACAGGGACCCTTAGGGCTTGTTAATTAAAGGAATCTTTGTGAAAATCTCCCGTGATGTGACGCGACGCTGCATTTCGGTCAAGCTTGATGCGAAGGCATAAGGGCTGGACTTGGTAGCTGGGTTGCGGGTTTAAGGGTGTAGTTGGAGTTTGTAGCTGAGTTGAGTCGGTAAGCCATTAATTAAGCTTCTGGGTGCGTTTATAAGTTGTCATGTCCAGATTTCTTCGCAAGGATTCTTAGGTTCGTTGCAAGCCATTGTACCTGAACTCTACGCCTGAAGCGAGACAAAGTAACATAGCATCACACATATTAACACACAGCACACACACACACAGCATACTACGCCATGGTAGTTGACAGGCTAACCGTTCAGGGGCCGGAGGACGCAGCCACTCTGCTGTAGAGCCTGGCCTGTCGGAGTGGTGGACTCGTGTCTTCCTCGTCAGCCCTTATGGTCCTAGGTACTGTTATGGGGGATACTTCCCCTGATCATAATCTTAATTAATTCCTAGTATAGAAACCTTACATTCTACTACATAGGTACTTTGGGCCCTTTGGGCAATGCTGCGATATGCTGCGTGTCTTGAGACCTTCCGGGCAAGAGCTGGCCGCGATAAGCGCAGAAGAGTTCACGGACGCGGGCTCTGTGAAGAAGCACTTGTGTGAACAGCATGGCTTCCCGACGTATTTGCAGAAACTTCTGCTTGGCGGCAGGCTCTTAACCGATGATGCTAAGCTGGACGGTGACATGGATTTGCATTTGGTGCTGTTGACAGTTTCCAGCCTGTCCCCATTTGAACAGGGTTATGCTGAATCAGAGCTGGTGTATGCTGCTGCAGGGAACCGTATCCACACCGTCCGAGCCTTGGTGGAAGCTGGTGCGGACAAGGATTGCAAACTCGTGTCCGGCATGACGGCCCTGATGCTTGCATCAGCGAATGGTCACTTGCAGGTTGCACGCTTGTTGGTGGAAGCTGGCGCTCAATTGGATGACAAAGACACGTCCCGGATGACAGCCCTAATGCTTGCAACTAAGAGTGGTCACTTGGAGGTTGCCCGTTTGCTGCTGGAAGCTGGTGCTGAAATGGAGTGCACAGACGGGCACGGCAGGACGGCCCTCACGCTTGCATCCATGGGTCGTCACTTGGAGATTGAGCGTTTGCTGGTCGAAGCTTATGCCAAGCGTGGCAGGATCCCACTATACATCCGCCGATTAGCCGTTGAATCCCTGTAACAGCTTTGGTTCACCTGGGAGGCAGTGAATCGCTGTGCAGAGAAATGATACGGAAACTATTGCAAAGGATATAGACCCACCCTGAAACTGAGTACTTCATGTGTCATACGGGCTTAGCTGCATGCATGAGTTCGAGCGTGCATACACGGCTCCTGAAAGAAATTTGGGCGCGTATGTGTTGGCTGCACTTATGGGGCTATGAGCGATAAAACCTTAGTCTGTATGGATGATCCTGCAGGATTTATTGACTGATCCTCGCACACCCCAAACGGTTTAGGGTTTAGGTTTCTACTTGACGGCAACAAAATGGTAGGGCTCTGTCGGATTTACCCTTTCGTGCTGTAAGGGTTTCTGCTGGAGGGGTTCGCAAGTATTCGTGCGAAAGCTCAGGAACCAAAAAGCTTCTTTGGGAAATCAGGGTTTAGGGGTTTCGGGTTTCGGGTTCTAGAACTGCCGATGGCAAGCCAGCTTCTTGGTGGATGGACACTGCCCAGCACCATTCGGAAGGCGCGGAAGATGGGATCTGCAGCCTACTTGGAGGGTCCTACCCTCCAAGTAGTGCCTCAAGCTGGAACAAGGAGGATCTACTGCAGCACCAAGTTAAACCCTAAACCCTAAACCCTAAACCCCTAAACCCCTAACCCCTAAACCCTAAACCCTTTTAGAGCCCCGTAGCAAACCTAACGACCTCCTGCTCCGACCAAGGTGCTCAAGGCCACTGCCCGGTGTGGAAAGACTTGGGGTTTAGGGTTTAGGGTTTAGGGGTTTAGGGTTTAGGGTTTAGCTGATTTCAAAGCTGCACGAAAAGCAAGTAGCCGAGCAGAAGCAGTTGCACAAAGAGCAATGGGAGGATCAGGGGACTTCGTAAGTAAGGTTACAAGTACCTTAATTGGGGTTATAAGGCATTATACGTATAGTTACCTTATTTATAGCTCTAGTTACTAAGCCCCATGATCCTTGAAGCAGCTGACACACTGGCTTCCGCGAGTCCGCGACGGCTCGGCATCCGCACGATGCAAGCACAGAAGGTCCGGACAATGCGAGCGCAGAAGGTCCTGACTACCCAGACCCCCGGGAGGATCCAAAAAGTAGATCCCTTAATGGGGGTTCCTATAACGCACCCTAAGTAGTATAGGGCCCCAAATTAGGGGATCTACTTTCTAGATCCTCACAGGGGTCTGGGTACGAAAGCACACCGTCACACCAGCTTCCGCAAGTCCAGCATGAACACGTTCTGGTGAGCACTCTCCTTCTGGAAACAGGATGCCCGACGTATTGCGCAGACATGTTGTCGAAGACACACAACCCTCAAGGGCATGAAATCAGGACTTTATGAAGCCTTTCTTTACCTAGAGGCTCAATAGTAGTTCCTTTTTGTCGTTTGTATTTTGATCCTATAAGGTAATCTCAAAACGAACTACAATGGAGATCCTAAAGCCTACATCGACCCATAAAACCCTCAACAGAAACGCTGCAGATCCCCAGGCCCTACTATAAGCCCTTCTTAATCCCTAAAAACCTAAAGCCCTATGCCCTCAACACCCTAAAGTCCCTAAAGCCCAAGCCCATCCGCCACACTACTCGAACGCTTGAATTTTCAGGAGCCACCCTTTACAGGAACCCTTTTAAGAACTCCTGTATTTGGAAACCTGCTTCAACTCAAAACCTAAACCCTTAAGCCCTAAAAAACCCTTAACCCCTACACCCCTAAACCCCAAGACCCTAAACCATGCCAAACCCCTACGCCCCTAAACCCCTAGACTTAGACCCTAAACCCGCCCAAATTACGCAAAATAATGGCCCAGCACCTACCATCGGCTAGTGTTCTGCCTTCTTTTGGGATCCAGGCAACCCCTAAACCACTCGAAACCCCCAAATCCCTGGGCCCTAAACCCTAGTCTGTAAAAACCCCCAGACCCTAAATTTCTAGACCCAGTAATTAGGGTTATAAATAGGGTAACCATATTTATAACTACTTATAACCACAATTAGGGTACTTATAACCTTACTTACCAAGTCCCCCGATCCTGCAAGTAGACCCTGGGACCCTAAATTTCTAGACCCCAGACCCTAATCCCTAAACCCTAATCACTTAATCCCTAAACCCTAAACCCTAATCACCTAATCCCTAAACCCTAATCACTTAATCCCTAAACCCTAATCACCTAATCCCTAAACCCTAAACCCTAATCACCTAATCCCTAAGCCCTTGGTCGCTTCATTCAGGGCCGACCCAGGGGTCGACTGTGAGGCGGCAACCTCCCGCAGAGGAAGAAGCGCCGCTCGGCCTCCGGAACGGGGCCCTTTTTTCAGGGTTCCTTCAACTTACCTTTGGTTAGTAGGGAATGGTAGCGTTCCCTTTAAGGGGGTCTATACGGGTTACTATAAGGGATCTATTCTTGCCTTTAGTTAGTAGGGAATGGAGGAATGGGGTACAATTATAACTACTGTTATATACTAACATTCTTCCATTCCCTACTGATCAAAGGTAAGTTAAGGGTTACTTTCAGGGCTTGATTCAAGAGTTCTCCTTTGAGGGCTCCTTTAAGGGCTCCTCAAAGGGCTCTAGAAGGCTGTCTATTGGACTATAAGAACCCTAAACCCCTAAACCCTTAACCCCTAAACCCCTAAACCCTAAACCCCTAAACCCTTAACCCCTAAACCCTAAACCCTAAACCCCTAAACCCCTAAACCCTAAACCCTAAACCCCTAAACCCTTAACCCCTAAACCCCTAAACCCTAAACCCCTAAACCCTTAACCCTTAAACCCTAAACCCTAAACCCCTAAACCCCTAAACCCTAAACCCTAAACCCTAAACCCCTAAACCCCTAAACCCTAAACCCTAAACCCTAAACCCTAAACCCTAAACCCTAAACCCTAAACCCCTAAACCCCTAAACCCTACACCCTAAATCTATTGGACTATAAGGGTTCCTTCAACGGCTCCAGGGCTCCTGAAAGGGTTCGAAGGCCCCAGACCTTCCAAAACCCATTAATTAAGGAATATACCTAGGGTTCCTTTAAGGGATCTATAAGGGATCTATAGGGTTTAGGGAAGTCCAAAATCCCTTAATTAAGGAATATACCTTAAAGTATAGTAGGATCCGTTATATGATTTAAGGTATATTCCTTAATTAAGGGGTTTTGGAGGCTCTGGGTTCTAGAAGGGTGCTAAGGGCTCCGTTCACGGCTCCTTTGAGGGTTCCTTTGAGGGATTTATAGGAGCCTTTGCCTTGAAAGGGATCCTTTAAGGATTTAAAGGAGTGGACCTCTATGGGTTTTATACGGGAGCTTCCATTAAAGGTTTCTGATTTTCTGAGGTTTTAGGCCTTTCGGGCTCTTTTGAAGTTTCGGGTTTGGGGCTTGAGGCACGATTCCCTTATGGGGATCGATGAGGCTTGCATTATAAGGGATCTCGATGGGCTCGATAGGGGGGGTCTATGGCTTCCTATTTAGAGTGGCCTACGGGGTTCCTCCTAGGGTTTAGGGTTTAGGCTTTGCAGACTAAGGTGGTGAGTTCGTTGTGTGGGATGCTGGGGTAAAGAGGTTCAGGGTATCTTGTGGATTCCTGAATCCCAGATCCGAAGCTTTCGAAGCTCCGAGCTGACCCCGGTTTAGGATTTAGGGTTTAGGGTTTATGCGGACGTCGGAACATTCAGTCATCATTTGCTTGCATAGCCCGTACTACAAGCTTTGTATATGGGCGGTTGTCAGAATTATGGTTCCTTTTTGGGGTCCTTATTATAATACGGCACCTAATTTAGGGTACCCCAAAAGGGGCCATAATTTTGACAACCACCCATATGCCAAAGGGCATGCTACTTCTGCAACCCCACAGCCGTTCCTACTTCAAGGCCCTGTTTCGGCGCTGACGCGCGGGTCGTTGTGCAAGGACTGCAGGCAACGGGTTACGATCGGTTTAATAAGAGGTCTTGAACTAAGTTAGTTTAACGGAGTCATAGCAGTATTTGTCATAAGGTCTGGCCACCGGGGACTGGTCACAACGTTTTTTTCTGTTTGCTGGGTTCATGCTCACGCAGGGCTGAAGTTCAGGTTGTAGAGGGCTAGTGCGGCTAGGGCTTCAGTGCTCGGGCCTGGATTTTGGGCCTTCGAACGCCGATCGTTTCGTATGGTTGGTGAAAGCTTTGGGGCTTGGGGCCGGGAACTCTGAACGAGGTGCTGCCGCCTATCGTAAGTGCGCAAAGATACCTAAAACTCGAGTGTTTAGGGCCAGGAACCCTGAACGAGGTGCTGCCGCCTATCCGCTGGGTGGGCCCATTCACCAAAATCGAGGCAACAGCTGCCGAATATCACGAAACGTAGTTCTTGGAAGGCCTCAAATGAAATCCCCCTACGAGCTCTCATCCCACACCACTTTGACCCTTAAACCTTCAACCCCGAGATTTGAAATCTTCCTTACGTCAACCCCGAACGTTAAAATCTTACAAACCTTTGAAGCCACAGAACCCAAACAGGTTCGGCCCGACCTCAACGGCAAGCTCGGTAGCGTGGTGACCTGGGACACAGCAGAGCACCGGTACAAGGTGCTTCGGCGAGCCCACAGAGCCCAAGACCAATTTCCCCAAGTGTCCACCTGATTATGTGGTGTGCATATACATAGCATGTAGCCGCGTCGGAGGACTTCAATCGATAGATAGGGCGTTGATTGTTGTCAGGGAATCGTGGATACCGGGAAGTGGGTCGTGAATTCATAGGGTTTGGGGTTTATGGTTTAGGGGTTTAGGGTTTAGGGTTTAGGGGTTCAGGGTTTAGGGTTTAGGGTTATTTAGGGGTTGAGGGGATCGAGGTCCCGGGACACTGTGTACGGCATTCAGGTTCTGGGGAACGGCCCACTGTCATTTCCTTACTTAGCCGATGGACGAAATTGAAAAGTTTTGGCCTCACAATGTTTTGTCCGTGAAATAAAGTTTGAACTTTTGTGGGCGCGGCTATTGGAAAAGAGAGTTTCGGATCTAGCACGTAATCTGGGGCTTCGGGTATTCGGGTTCGGCGGCACGGTTGGCCGTTCAGTGAGGAAGCATTGAAATTAAATCAAGTTTCCCAGAGTTTTAAGCGAGCCCCGAGCCCCAACAAGGCATCCTGCGATTATATGGCTGCATCAGAACAGCCGTCCTGCAGCGTGTCTGTTTGTTCGATGCTGTGAGGAGTCTGGGTAACTATACCCTCCACCTGAGATCCCATTTTTCAGATACAGTGACATTGAGGGGAGACGATTTCTAAAGAAGCTTCTAAAGTGGCTTTCAAGGTTCTGAAGGTCATTATATACAGCCTTGGTCATCTGTAACACATGTCACGATAAACCAAATTCACATCTATCTTATGCTTGTATATATTGTGGCCAGCTGCCATGCCAAACCCTGACATTCTGGAAGCAATAATGCTTACAACACCTCACAGAGATTGTTTTACCTTGTAGTTGTCGTGCAGTACAAGATCCATTTACGGATTTGATGATGGAGCCGGCCGTGGTGGTCGTTGAATGTAGTCTTGAGGTCTGGACAGTTACTAGATGTAATAGTATCTCCGAGGCTCTTGCTTAAGCGTTTCTTGTTTTTCTTTGTTTAAGGGCGGTCCTCCAAGAATTGTTGGTGCTTCCCTTCTGAGAGGAGTAGAGAATATCCCGTCGTAGTCCAGACTCCAGACACGATTGTAGAAGAATATACCTCAACGCGCCGTTCAAATGATCATGGTTTCGGTTGGTAGGGGAAGAGATGGGAGGGCTTCAAAGATTCCAACCGATCGAGGGTTAAGCTTGTAGCTTTTTGGGATCCTCAACCTCTGAATCCTTGCCCCGGGCCCTTAAACGCATCGTCTTAAAACAAAAACCCTAAACCCTAAGCCCTAAACCCTAAAACCCTAAACCCTAAACCCTAAACCCCAAGCCCTGGTGGCCCTAAGTCCTCAAACTGTGATCCGTCAGTAGAAGCGAGTTGTAGCTGTTTCCGAAAATTAGGGGTACCTTATCTTGGATTGTAGTAAGGATCCTGCAATTTAGGGTACTATATTAGGGTCCCCATTTTCGGAAACTCCCAGTTCCAGGTGCAGCTGGACGATGGCACCGGTAAGATGCTACGGCCGGCAAATCTGCGACTGGCAACGGTGCAAGGCCGCCACAGCCTTCTTCTGATGTTGCGTGAGGTCAGCGGTGTGATGAAGTTACAAGGCTTTGCAAGGTGTCGCATGTATTTAGATGCAATTTGCCCAAACTGTGCAAGGCCACCTAATCAAGGAACATGGCCTGGACAAGCTATACAAGATTCTGGGGATATTCTTGGCAAATATTATTTCCTAAACCCTAAACCCTAAATTCAACGGCATTGGGCTTTCTGGGAAGGGACTGTGGTTAAGGGCTTCTGGCTTGTGGGTTGGCACTTCGTTCATTCGCCGGTTGTGGGTGCATGCTGACGCTTCCAGGAGTTTCTGTCAGGGTTCTACACAGCTTCTGTGAAGGTTCTTTAACTAGGACCTAGAGCAGGCCCTTATTCCCTTTTTTGTAGGGTCCAGGTTCCCTTATCAGCCCCTTTAAACCAAAAAAGGCACCCTTTTTATTCCTAGGTTACTGTTGGGTCTGGTCTATGAAGGTTCTACAGGGGCTTTATTCACATTTGCGCATGTCCCAACTTCTGATTCGCTGGGTACCCTTCATGTCCATGCTCATTTCTTAGCCGGGGCGTGACTTCATGGAAGTGTAATTGCTGAGCCGCTGCCTTTGTCAGTATCCCAGACAGACACCGCCAAGGTTCATTACAACTTCGCGTCTAGATTCTAGGTGCAACGGCCAGCACTTCATGTCCCGGCAGCTCACCCTCCATAGCGTTGGAGCTACCATTCTCGTCGGTGGACGAGCGTACACTCTTCAAAGTGGTCCTGCTGCTGCTCAAGTGCTACAGACCGCGTCGTTTCTGCTCGAACCATTTCGCTGGTCCTCGTGCAAAGCAAGCACGTGCCGGCCACGAGAACAGCCTGCACAAAGCCTTGACGGAAGATGCAGACAGCGGGAATCCAACCTTTGTTTGAGCCAAAGCGGTCAGGCAGGAGGCGTCGTCTGCAGCTGAGGACGTTTTTGTGGGCTTGGAGTCTCCACTGGAGGAAGCTTCGGGCGAGGTCTCCAGCCCTACGTTTTCGAGGCTTGAGAACGCCCGACTTCAGAAACTTAGATTTTGGGGTGCTATCCGGCTGACGTAGCCCATATGTTTCTTATGCAACCATCTCTTGTTCAGTGATTGCATTGTAATCCCTCAGCCCAACAGGCATCAGAAGTTAACATTTACCATGCGAGTAGAGATGGGACAGGAAGGTGCTTCTTCGTCACGTTGATCAGGCTTTAGGCCTTAAGCATGGAACACCCCTGTTCCCTTAAAATATAACACTGTCTTCGGGCACAGAATGGTAGGATACAGAGCTTTGAAACCCTGAATCCCAATCCCTTACCCAGACCCCCGGGAGGATCCAAAAAGTAGATCCCTTACTAGGGGTTCCTATAAGTACCTTTAGGGCCCCAAATTAGGGGATCTACTTTCGAGATCCTCCCGGGGTCTGGGTAGGGAGGGGAGTCTGAAATCTCCTTTGCGACAGCTGACAACGCAGCCTGAAGGCTGCCTTTTAAGGCTGCACCCAACCTGACGCTGAGACCATGGACTATGCGGGTGTGTTGGGGTTAAGGGGCTTTGGGTCTTAGGGGTTTAGAGTTTAGAGTTTTGGGTTGAGAGTCGAGAATAGTTAGAGTTTAGGCTGTTGAGCAGTGTTAGTAGCTAAGGTGGACATGGAAAGAGTCAACAAATCCTGGCCCCATGCCCTATGATTCCTAGATCCTGAAGCCGCAACGCTATACAGCCCCAAAGCACGTTAAACCCTAAACCCCAAACCCCCAAACCTTCAGCCTGTAAACCCAAAACCTCTGAACCGCAAACCCTTAGCCATAAAAGCAAAACTCCAAATCCCTGTTATAGCACTCTTATAGCATTATCATAAAGTGGATTCTTGAACCCCTTATTGAAACCCTAAACCCTGCACACCGTTATTGTAGTATCCTTAAGGGAGGGGGGTCCAAGGGGGGGTATATAGCCTAGTGATCCCTAATTCTCCCTAGTACTCCCTAAGGTTCCCTTACAGTCCCCTGAGGATTCCTTATACCCTCCCCCCTTGAACCACCCTCCCTTAAGGATCCTATAACCTATAACCCTAAACCCTAAACCCAAAACCCTAAGAACCCTAGAACCATAACCCTAAACCCCTAGAACTCCTGATACCCTCCGAACCACCCTCCCTTAAGGATCCTATAACCGTTAAGGGCACCCGAAAATCCTTTTGAACTTCCTCAGACGACCCTCGCCTCGGCGCACCCGAAGTCAGCGGCAGCTCCCTCGATTTCTTCCGGTTTATAGCCACCAGGGTTGGGGGCTTGGGAGTTTAGGTGTGTTTGGGATTTCGGGTTTTTGGGGGCTTGCGGTTTTCGGACTTTTGGGGTGTTTGGGCATATTGGGCTCAGGGTAAAGAGTTCCTGTTAGGGCTTCGGGTTTAGGGTCCCGGCTTAGGGTTTAAGCTTTAGGGTTTGTTTCTGTGCTCCGTTTAGAAGGCTTCCCGTTTGGGTCCTATAGCTATAGGGAATATACAGAATTCGAGTGTTTAGGTTGTTGGATAGCGTTTCGTCTTAGGGGATTCGGTCTGTACCCAATGAGGACTGCTTCGGTGTGTTTTGTATTTCTTGAAGTAGTGAGACAGGGTCAGTGGTTGTGGTCTGCGGGCTGAACCTAGAAGCCTGAATGATCACTGGTACCATTCCGCATTCTTTTTTTATAAATATCGTAAGCACTTAGAACAGGGTTCCCTTAGGGGGTTCTTTCGACAGTTCGAAAAGGGCAATTATTAGAGCCGTATACTTCGATCAGGGATTTGGGTATACCAAGTACTGCACAAGCATAATGAGGAATCCTACGATATAATTTCGGTATAGTTTTTGTTTTTTGGTTCCGGCTTCTACGTTCCACTTCGGCTGTTGCTTCGAGCGCGAGGGTTTGGGTCCAGAGTTCAGAGCTGAGTAATCTAAACAATTGCCTACACTTTTTTTTGGGAGGGGTTCCTTACCATAGCTTTCAACTATACTTCAATATACACCAAAACAATATTCTAATTATTCAGGCCCCTATAGTAACCCCCAGAATACCCCTTGTAGACCCCTTTAAAAGGAACCCTATTCTAACTGTTCAGGCCCCTATATTATGCAAGCCATGCCGCAGACACGCAGACATTGACGAACTCTGCAAGAAGCAGAGAGTCAAAATTATGAACCGTTCAGGGTTTAGGGTGTTAGGGGTTTAGGGTTTGGGAGTCGAAGTTGCAAGCCCTGCTTGTATGGTACTGTATGTGTTGTGAGGGTTTGGTTGTACCCATAGGCTCCCATAGCAGCTCCTTTTTGTGGTTTATATTTGGGACGTGTGTATTGAATTGTGAAGCACAAACGGCCGTCTCGTATGCAGGCGGGGGCGGACGTCCTGCAGATACTGGCCAGAAATAATCAAGATGAAGCACGAGTCTGCCTATTCGCCCTGTCATTGGGCAAATCGGTTCGTGGTGTTCTCACGATGGTCGACTTTGGCTCCATCGCCTGGTATGGCAAGGAGGCCATTGACTCTGAACAAGCGGAAACCGAACAGCGCAAGTTGCTTGACACTGACATGGTTGCCTCTTTCCGCGAGGTGCAAAATGCAGGTCCAACAGATCACCTCCTGCGGCCTGGCCGGGCGTGAGTGTCACGGGAAGACCCAGATCGAGCATAGGGTTATCACCAACAGGGAACTACAATGGAGCCTTTATGTGTGGTTTTCTGATACCTAACAATGCTTAAAGTTCTGCAATAGGGAGTACTGGGTTAGGTTTTGAATGTCTGACTTCCTTATTCACGATAAGCAGGTAAAGAAAGATAAACCCTACTTAAAGGATCATGGGACTTAGTAACTAGGGTTATAAGTAAGGTAACTATACATATAATAACTTATGACACCAATTAGGGTACTTATAACCTTACATACTAACCTCCCTGATCCTCCAAGTGAGACCGGTAAACCCTGTACTAAACCCTTTAGATCCCTTTAAGGAACCCTATAGATCCCTTTAAGGAGCCCTATAAGAACCCTTACTAAGTCCCCTGAGAAAGGTAAACCCTGAACCCGAAAGCCGGGTTCCCAAGTCGCAGTCGGCCGTTGAGGTCGGGGACATGGCGGCCCTCACAGATGGAAGGACCTAAACCCTAAACCCTACCTTAACCTTTTCAGGGTTCCTTCTTATGATTTCGGTTCATAAGTCCTTAAAAAGGGAATATTCGGTGTTAAGTCAAGCCTTAAAGCCTAAACCTTAAACCCTGAACCCTAAACCTTAAACCCCAAGCTCGGCCCTGCGGGGTTTCGATTTAGGGATCCAGAAGATACTTGCAGCCCTCCATAAGTGAAAGCGGGCAGTGTGCCAGTTTGGTCGGCGGGAATCCTGGGTAATAATTTATAGTGCGGTGGTTTGATGCAGGAGATGCTTCGACTGGACGTGGCTGAACTACATCCCTATACAAGTACTGGTGGCTTGTAGTCGGTGGAGTCCTACCCTGGACCACTATATCCTGTCGTTGCAGGGTCCTGTTATACATAAGCCCTATTGATGATGTTACTAAAGAGCCTACAACAAAGTCAGGGTCTGACTATAAGTACGCCTTAGTGTCGATGTTACGAAAGAAACTACAACAAAGCCATACAATGTGTATGTTATGGTCATCGTGCTTTCTAAGTCCCTCGCTACGGCAAGTGGTCCTAAACCTTCCAAGTCGAAACCGAAGACCGCAACCTCAACGCCCGTACTATGTAATTGGGGTTTAGGGTTTGGGGTTTAGGGTTTGGTTTGGGGTTTATAGGGTTTTGAGATTTTCCATCTTTTAAATCCCAACCTTGCTCAAAACAAGCGTCTAGAATCCGTATCGCCGCGAAACTGGCGCAGGACGGAGCTCCAAGTGGCGACGTCAGGTCCCGGGGACCCACCTTTTTGTCAGGGGCTTCTTTCATAGGGTTCAGGGTTTAGGGTTGACCCAACTCTGTTAAGGGACTTCTTTTACTTGGAGGATCGTGGGACTTAGTAGGGAAGGTTATAAACTCTATGTAACCCCTTCCCCCTAACAGTAAAACCCCCCCTCCCCCTAATGTAAAAACTGGATTTCGGGGCCGGAGTTTTTATATTGGGGGGGTTCGGGGTATCCGGGGGCGAGTAGGATTGGCAGTGTTTCAACAATCGTTGATTATGGACCCAGACACTAAACCTGAAGCCCTAAACCTTGAGCCTTAAGCCCTTAAGCCCCAAGCCCTAGAGCCCTAAACCCTAAAGCTCTGGTCTCTTCGGTCTGATTAGTACTGCTGTAGTCTTTGGCTTCAGTAAAACCAATACAATCCTATGCCTCCCTAATGTTTTCAATTAACTTTCAATTGTAGGCCCGACACCGCAACATTCCGGGGGCCGGGAGTTTTTATATTCGGGGAAGGTTTAAGGTTCGTCCCTGTTCACACTTAGCTTGGACTTGAACTGAGCATGAAGCAGGCGTTTGAGTCCAGTTTCTGCAAGACGGCTGCTAAAGCCACGTTGAGGGTCATGCAGGGTGTGCGTGCAAGGGAGCAGGCATCAATAAGTAACCGGCGAGAGGAGGAAGAACAGCTTCACAAGGTGTTCTGTGCCCTGATGTGTTCTGACAACTCATGAAGACAACCCTCGGCCCTAAATTTGCTTTCTAGAAGAAGCGATCGATGATTCGCAACCCTCGCGCTCGCAACTTGACGACTCGGTTTCTGGACCTTTCCAGTTGGGGAGTGCCCAAGACTCCCGCATGCTGCAGCAACGTCCGGAGCCAAGCATGCTGGCACCACAGCATGCACTATGCACATTTTCTACAAGGCTGAGGAGCAACTCTGGCAGCTGGCAATCTTCTTGGGCACGCTCGAGAAGTTGCAGGCTCAGGTTGCATTGGGAGTTTCCGAAAATTAGGGTTACCTCATTCTGGGGGTCCTCCTAGCATGGATCCAACTATTTAGGGTACTATATTAGGGTCTCCTATATTCGGAAACTCCCAGTTTTTACAGGGCTAAGTGAGACAGGACCGGGAAGTCACACACGACACGTCGATTGAGCCGGAACACGATGCCGATGTGCCAGCTCGAAGGATCGCCAGTAGTAGTACAAATAGCATCGCAATAATACTCAGAAATAATAAAAAAGTAACAATAATACTTATAATGATGATATTAATATGTATGTTAATATGATATTAGTAGTTTATTAGTAGTTAGTAGAAAGACAACCATATCAGAATAGTATTACTTGCACTACTAATTAGTAATGAATTGCCCCAGGCGCGGCCTGAACCAGGAGCGGCTTCAGACTCGTAACCGCTGACCGGGAGTCCTAAATCCCTGAGGGTCCAAGTACCCAAACAGTAGGGTTTCAAGCTCCAAAAACCACTCAGGGTATGGATTTTGGGATCTAAAACCCTACTGTTTGAGTACTTGGACCCTCTGGGAATTAGGCTTTGCTACAACATAGGGTTTAGGGGTATAGGGTTTTGAGGGTTTAGGGTTCAGGGGTTTAGGGTTTAGGGTTTAGGGGTTTACCTATAGTTTCCATTGTAGTTCCTTTTTGGGGTCACCTTATAGAATCCTAGTTATATAACTGGTTAAACCAAAGAAAGGAACTACAATGGAGACTATAGGTAAGTAACATGAGTAAACCCCCATCTCTATCCGGGTGCTTTGGGGGTTACGACCCCGTAAACACCGAAGCCCTAGAATAGAGGGCCCTGGGCGCTACATTTCTATAGATGGTATAGAGGCCACAAAAAATGTACGAGTTATTGCATCCTCTGCTAGAACTGAAACCCTAACCCTAAACCCTTATCCCTAAACCGGAAACCCCTAACCCTAAAGTTCAAAGCCTGGACATTCGAACTCAAGCTTTCAAACCTGAATAGGCACTCCATCTATACACTCTAGAACCCAAGCGCTTCGGATTCGGAAGGGGTGTAACTAAACAATTTCTGTTCCTAGCCATAGACAACCCCCTCATAAAAGACCCATTTCGAAGTCTGAAAGAACCCGTTGAAATTCCAACGTAAATCAAACCCTAAACCCTAAACCCTAAACCCTAAAGCTTGAAACCCCAGCATGAACTCGACACCGCCCTTAGAGGATCCCGCCAAGGAGCCCTTCAACGGAACCCATATGAAGCCTGATGCCTTCAAGGAGCCTTAAAAGAACCCTAAACCCTACAACCCGAAGCCCTTAACCTTTAAAGAGCCCAAACCCCTAAATCCTAAAACCCTAAACCTTAAAACGCCGCCCTTGAACCCAAGGAAGCCACAGAGCAAAACCTAAGTTTTTCGCCTCGCAGGGGATCTGGCGACGGGCTGGTTATCGGTCAGAGAGTGCTCTGGGGGGTTCAGAGGGTTTGGCGTTTGAGCTTTGAGGCTTTAGGCATTAGGGCTTCGGGTCTCAGTATTAAGGGTTTTAGGGTATCAGGTTGTAGGGCTGTGTATTTTCGGATTTAGGGTTTGGGATTTTGGGTTAAGGGGAGAGGCCGGGTGGAGGGTACATGGTTCTTGAAGCAGTACCCGAGGCCTTCTAGCTTAGAAGCCCTTAAACGCAGAGCTCTACAATTGCCTAGAATCCTCGAAGCTCGCCAGCCAGAGTTGTTCTAGCATGTGCTGAAGAGGACGGGTGTGGGAGCATAGTTTTCTGCCGCCGAAGCGAGAGTCTTTCGCCCAGACCCCCGGGAGGTTCTAGGAAGCAGGCCCTATGCAACTAAGGGTACTTTATAGGAACCCCCATTAAGAAACCCTAAACCCTAAACCCTGAAATAGCCCTAAACCCTAAAATAACCCCCTGAACCCTAAGTCCCTGAAATAACCAGTTACTAAGTCCCCTAAACCCTAAACCCTTACAGAATCCCTATAGATCCCTTTAAAGGGGCCTTTAAGGAACCCCTTATAGTTAATTACTAAGTCCCCCGACCCTCCAAGTGTGCAGCAGGGCCCCTACTTAAAGGATCATGGGACTTGGTAACTAGGGCTAGACATAAGGTAACTATACTTATAAGTGCTTATAACCCCAATTAGGGTACTTATGACCGTACTTACTAACTCCCCTGATCCTCCAAGTAGTAGACCCTAAACCCTAAACCCTTATAGTACCCCTATAGGCCTATAGATAGGAGCCTTTAAGAACCTTTACTAAGTCCCATGATCCTCCAAGTCTTGACGAGAGGAAAGTAGGCTAGCGAGGAAGAGCTCGGAGCTGCGGCGGTCCGCTTCACCTGAAATCCTTGGAGGATCAGTTGGGACTTAGTAAGTAAAGGTAAGGTTACAAGGGTTCCATACTAAAAGGGTTCCATTAGGGGTCCTCTTATCGGGCTCTAATGGGTTTAGAGTGTAAGGTCTACTTGGAGGATCGGTTGGGACTTAGTAAGGGTTCTTGAAGGGCTCCTTAAGGGGATCTATAGGGCTCCTGAGAGGGATCTATAGGGTTTAGTTTAGGGTTTAGGGTCTACTTGGAGGATCATGGGACTTAGTAAGTAAGGTTATAAGTACCCTAATTGGGGAGGTAAGTAATTATAACTATAGTTACCCTATTTATAACCCCAATTACTAAGTCCCATGGTCCTCCAAGTACCTGACTATGAAAACCCAAAGGGTCCTATGTACTGTTATGGGGGATACTTCCCAAAGTCATCATAGTAATTCCGAATGTGGAAACCCTACATTGTACTATATAGGTACTTGGGAACCCTTAAAGGAATACTAAGCCCTTAAAGGAACCCTGAAAGGAACCCTATACCCGAAAAGTACATAGGACCCTTTGGGACAGCATGCTGCTGCCAAAGTAGCGTGGAGTGTGATCTACGGCATCGCCTTGCTGCTGCGCCACGTGGACGGCTTTGCGGACATCTGCGAGCGATTGATTGGTAGGCAACTTCAGGGCTTCTTTCTATAATGATGTAAAACAATCCCTTAGACTTTTTCCGAATACACAAACTTCTAGACCTTGTCCTGTAGGTTCTGTGCATGCAGCTCAGCCCTACATCGTGATCCTACATCCCAAAGCGTACACACGCCCACAATCGCAAACCCTTACCAACCTACACCCACCCAAATCTCAAACCCCAGAAAACCCTTATGAAATCCTACAGAAAAAAAGTAAGAATCTGAATCTTATCGAAACCCTGCAACGAGAGCCCTGCTTGAAGAGGTGCGAGTTCGCGGCCTTATCGAGCGCAGCGAACTCAATGGAGTCCTAGCTGCAACTTGAGGATCTGTGGCGACGGTTTAGGGTTTAGGGCTGTAATTTGAGGAGGTTAGGAGTTTGGAGGATATTCGGGTTTAGGATCCACGAATTTTGGATTTAAGGTCCAAGGGTTACGGGCTGGGGTTTTGGTTTTAGGATGGTTTACGGGTTGAAGGGGTCAGGATGTTGTTAGGGCAAGCATGAACTATATATGCCTGACTCATAGACTGTAAGCCCCAAAGGGTCCTGAATGCCCGCATAGCAAAAACTTGGGCTTCTATAGCAGGAACTACAAATATAGGGAACTCCAGAAAGTTGGAACATGGTTCAGGGTAGGATACCTTATGATATACCATAAAAGGGTTTAGGTTAATCATATTCCAACTTTCTGGCTTTTACTTTATGGTTTGGGAAAGTATCCCCCACAAAGGTACTTAGGGCTCAGGACTTCTCGAAGCAATCCTAAACTCTAAACCCTGAACCCTAAACCCTATAAGCCCTAAGCACTAATCCCTACTTGTGATTTGTTCTGTCATGTCGACCTTTGAATGCTTTGCAGGTGTCGGGACAACCGAGCAGAACGGCCTGCTGAACGTGGCTGCTGACCTTGACAAAGCCAGGCAGATCGAGAAGGAGGTGGAAGCAGAGTGGCTGCAGAGCATGGCCGAGAAGGAGGCCACGAAGGCTGCGGCGAAGAAGCACAAGGTGGTGGCCCCACGACACCGGGAGCTCCGACGGGTCAGCTGACGGAAGCGGCCGTGGGCCGCCAGCTTGCTGAACTGGCGGCCGCCCTGCAACGGGCGGAAGCATCTCACCGTGAGATGCAGCAAGCGCGGTAAAGCCCGAGCCACCAGCCGAGACAGAAGAGCACCAGCCAGAGGTGCCAGAACCCAGGACAAAGCCACAGGTGCCCGAACCCAGGACACCGCCGCCGGTGCCTGATGTCGCGGGGGTTAAAAAAGGACATACAGTTGGTTCATGACAGCTCATAGATCTAAAAGGGGCCGAAGTAGATACCAAATGTACTCCTCGGGCGTAGTTATACGAAGATACAACGTGTACCCTGGTCTATGTCAAAGAACCCTGCCAAACAAACCCTAAACCCTAAGCCTAAGGGTCCAAAGGACCCAATAATTTGGATGGTAGTTATGCAGGTTACTATTTTGGAGAGTATATGTGCTTGGACCCAAAGTGATTAAAGCAATGGCCCAGCACCCTACCCAAGGCAAGCATTCTACAGACACTGGTGTCGGGGTAGCCCCTCTAAGCCCTAAACACCTAAACCCGAACCCTGAACCTACTCCAAGACTCGACCGAGAATCCTTTGTCAGTTGCTCGGGACTGAAGGTTTCTATGGTTTAAGGTTTAGGTCAGTTTTAGAGTTTTGGGTTTAGGGTTTAGGGTTTAAGGTTTTGGTCAGTTTTGGAAGTTAGGGTTTAGGGTTTAGGGGTTTAGGGTTTAAGGTTCAGGTCAGTTTTAGAGTTTTGGGTTTAGGGTTTCGGTTCTACGTAGTAGTTAAAAGTGCCAGCGCTCTTAGCAGGCAGGTCAAGGTTTTGGGTTATGGGTAACAGGCCATTGGATTCCCGCAGGCATTTACACACCCCTAAACCAGACCCTAAATCACCAAACTCCTAAGTTGACTTTGTTAAAGCCAAACCCCTGGGATTATCTGACATGCAATATCCCTTTTCAGAGGCTTCGCAAAGCGCACCCTTTAGTGTAGTCCGGTGCCACAGTAGGGGGTCCCACGGTTGATGATATAAATCCTGCATTACCTTAAGGACCCTAAACTATGGGAATTATGGTATATATATATATATACATATACATATATATATATATATATATATATATCCCGTATTATGGGTAATGCAGGATTTATATCACCAACCGTACTGTTTGCCGGGGTCCTGGATAAACACCCCTGCAGGGACCCCACCCCAAGCCTGCGAGCATGCCGGCGGCCCAAGGGCCCGTCGGGGTGGGTTTACTAGGATGCCCATTATAAAGTTACCCAATGCCAAAAAGGGAGCCTGTTTTATTCCTAGGAGTAGTAGCCTTATTCCCTTTTTGTAGTTCTAGGTTCCTTGTAAAGTTACCCAATGCCCATCAGCGAGCCCTTTTTATTCCTACGTTACTGGTCATCCTAGTTTAGGGTTTAGGGTTGAGGGCAGCGCAATAGCAAAACACCACTCCGGCAGCCGGCGGACAGCAAAAAATCGTTTGGGGTCCATGCAGAAGCAGAGACACACTGGCTTGAAAACTCAAACCCTGCACCCTAAGCCCCGAACCCGATTCTAAGTACTAAACCCCGCGTAAACTTTATTGCTAAGGCCCTGTATACAAAAGTGCTTTTGACAAGTAAGGATACGAACCCTTCTAGGAACCTCTTTCGTAACAATTAGAGGGACCTTCAGGGGAATGCTGAGAAAAACTGTAAATCCAGTGTAAACCCTAAACCCAAACCCCTGAACCATTAAGCCCTAAACCCTCAACCCCCAGAACGCTAAATGCTCGAACCCTTGAACCCATTAAGCCCTATAAGCTCTAAACGCCAGAACACTACACGCAAGAACCAGAAAAACCCTAAACCCCAAAACACCACGCGCTAGAACCTTGAACCCTTTGAGTGAGGACGCCTCGGCGAAGTCGCCGGCTGGGATGATGTTGAGGAAAGATGGAAGGCTCCTTTGTGAAGGTCTAATGTCGGAACCTGCTGGAGGAGTTTTGGCGTTATAAAGTTAGAATACCATAATAACCCTAAACCCTAAACCCTTAACGACCGGATCTGTAAGAAGATCCCTGGTGAAGACCCTCGTTTTCTTAGGCCACAGTGTTGTGAGGGATTCGGGTTTTCGTTTGGTTGTTGTTTCTGTTTCGGTTTTCAGTTCGATTGTTTTTTACATATCTAGCCGTGTGCTTATTGCTTGTGCCGCACATATCATACAGCACATACATGCATACATTAATATGCTACCCCCCGATACCAATCGAAGGTAGGTAGTTCTTGCGGGTTACCATTAATATATACATGTATATGTATGCGTTGATTTGTTGTTGCTTTCGTTCATACAAGTGTAACACATGAATTTGTTTGCGTGCTTTTCGTGTGTCTCTGTGTGTGTTTGGTTGCTGGTACACGTGTATATACATATGGTGCATAGACACATATATGATATATGAATATATATATATACACACACATATATTCTATTCAGATATCCTTGTATGTATTTGTATCTACGCCTATAAACACACATCTGGACCCACCCACACACACATATGTATATATATATATATATATATATGGTATACTGCTCTGTCCATTTCTTGTGTGATGTGTTTGCTGTTTTCTTTGTTTAGCGCACCGTACGCAACAAGATAAACACGCATAGGTAAGCAGGTGCACAGTCATGTATGTATGTGCATATGTACATCTACAGATACATACATACATACAAACATACATACATACATAGATTTGTATCGACATGTGTACATGTCTATGTACATGTGCATACATGTGTACACTGGTGCGTGTATGTATGTATGTATGCATGCATGCATTAATGCACTAATGTAACATAGTGCAAATTGATGGATGTCCGTAGTGTATGTGACGTATGTAATGTGTTGTATATAATTCTAGTATGTAATGTATGCTTGTATCTATGTGTATGTCTCTGTCTTCTATGTCTATGTCTGTGTATGTGTATATGTAGACGTGCCCCAACATATGCAGACATGTGATATTTATAGATATATACATATATATATATATATATATATACAGATGTTTTTCAAGGTTTGCAACCACCCAGTCCCGCACGTCATTACTGGCACGTATGATGAGACAGCTCTGACGGCTTCGGAATGCTGCCAAAAGTGCATGGATAAATAGCTACCCTTTGCACATCACAGCTTAAGCAGAAGCGCCGTAGAACTCAACAAATCTTCCATCAGCAATAAAGGCCGTAGCCGCAACCTCACCAATACACCGTAGCTCAGTTTAAGATTCCAGTTTGAGTTCAGGGTTTAGGATTCGGGGTTTTAGGCCAGTTTGGGTTTATGGTTCAGGGTTTCGGGTTTAGGATTCGGGGCTTTAGGGCCTACAGGGTTTATGGTTTAGGATGTAGGGTTGTGGCGCAGTCTGAGTGTAACAGGTGGCGCTCGACGATGGCACGGGCAAGCTGCTGAAAGCCGTCAATCTGGAGGTCGATGCCTTTGTAATATAAAGCAAGTTGCCAGACTAGAGTAGTTGATACGGTTGATGATATAAATCCTGCATTACCCATAATGACGAATATACCATATTTCCCATAGTTTAGGGCCCTTAAGGTAATGCAGGATTCATATCATCAACCGTACCATTCCGCAGTGCTCCTTGATAAAACTATACTATACTTTGTCCCCAAAGCCCTCTTCTGATTATCGAAGGCGCTATGTGAGGGATCCTTTGTTGTCCCTACAGTAGAAGCCAGAAAGTCGGAATATCATTATCATACTCCCTTTAAGGTAAGTTATAGGGGATCCTGCCATTATTCCATATTCCAACTTTCTGGAGTTCCTCATTATGGGTAATGCAGGATTTATATCATCAATCCTAAACCCTAAAACCCTATAGATCCCTTAAAGGAACCCCTTAAAGGTACCCTTATAGATCCCTTTAAAGGAACCCTAGGGATTTTAGGAGACTGCCGGGGGCTTCAGTGGCCAAGCTAGGCTTCCGGCGGTTGCGCGTTCAACTTATTCAAAGGGGAAAAGGAGGGACCCTTAAGAAGGACCCCTAGGGTTTAGGGTTTAGGGTTTAGGGTTAATATATAGCAATTATATACCCATTATATAGCCCATTATAGGGTAGGGGTCCCCATTAAGGGTCCCTCCTTTTCCCCTTTGACTTATGGCTTTGCCTCGGGAGTTTTTGCCGGTCCAGGGTTTCGGGTTTCGGGGTCAAAGCTTTCGGAGCTCCTGATATTCGGACCGGAAAAAGCTTCTTTTGGGTTTACTCGGGTCAATGCGTCCAAACAGATCCTCAGGCATAGGATCCTCGGGTTAGGGTTAGGACTATCTTTGGCTGTGCTGCGCTCGGGGTTCAAAGAAGGCCCTTATGTCATAACCCCAATAGAACCTGTTCGCAACCCTGCAAAGCAGTCCTGAAGGGAAGGAGACCTGACATGTGTTTTGGAGAAAATTGGGGAAGTCCAATGAGGCAAAAGGGAATTGGAAGAAGGTTAGGGTTTGGGGTTTAGGATTCCAAGGTTTCTAGATGCCTTCTCAGGTTGTTCTCGCAGAGTTTGACGAAGATGCCGTTGTCGACATGACAACTGGGCAGCCAAACCCGGACAATTGCCCTTGGCTCTTAGGGCTTAGAGTCTAGAACTCAAGGTTTGGGCTTTGGATTTGGGCCCGAAGCCCCATACACCCAACATCCTGGAGTAACTCGAAGGGTTCGGGTGTGTTTCACAATACTGACATAATGTTTCAAGCTAACCTTCAGCTCCCCTAGGCCACGGAAAACAGAGAATGGTGAGGGTGAAAAATAGCCGTTGGAATAGTTTGAAACAGTACCTGCTTGTACTTTCTACATATCTATACTCGAGTGTCCCCAGCAAGACTCTCTTGCATTCATTCAGGCCCCCCTAAACCCTAAGCCTAAGCCCTATGTAGTAGGCTCTAGGGTTCAGGCTTTGTTTGAAGGGCAATGGATCTGGTAAGTAGGGTCTGTATAGGTCCCGCAGACGTGAAAGATAAGCCATCCTAAACCCTACTTGGAGGGTCGGGGGACTTAGTAAGTAGGTAGTAAGTAGACTTGTAAGTACCCTAAAGTCCCTAAAATAACCAGTTACTAAGTCCCCCGACCCTCCAAGTAAAGCGGCGAAGATCATAAAGACACCCCGACAAGGGAGAGAGGGTACCGAGATCTTCCGATATTGCTTAACTGAAGAATATACCTTGAATCACATTAGGGACCCTGCTAGGGATCCCGAATATGTTTTAAGTTTTACCTTGAGTTAAGGAATATGTACGGGATATGTCTTAAATTTCAGCAGCTGATCTATCCTTTAGGGTACATTCGTTGTTTTTAAGTAAGGGATGTTGGCAGGTCTGGGTACCAGAGTGGGGGAAATCGGCTTCAGGCATGCTCCATGCTTTGGAGCAGGGTTTCAGTTATTTCGGCCCTTATGGTTTCGGTTAAATTGGGCCTAGTGAGTGTCTTCGGTTTAGGGCTTGGTGCGCAGAAACCTAAACCCCTAAACTCTATAGGCTCCATGAAAAACCTAATCTCATAAACCCCTAAACCCTAAGCCCCATGAAAACCCTACTCTCCTAAACCCCTAAACCCTAAGCCCCATGTAAACCCTAATTTCCGAAACCCTAATCTCCTAAACCCGAAACCCTAAGCCCCATCTAAACCCTAACCTCCTAAACCCTAATCTCCTAAACCCTGTTTCGGCTGTGCGCTTTTCCTAGAAATCCAAAGTTCCTGTAAATCTTGGCATGCGCAGCTCCCGCAGACTCCCTAGACACCTTGAGCGCACAGTAGGGTTGAGGGTTCCTTAAAGGGTATTCTAGGACATCAACATAGAGCCTTCTAGCAAAGGGCGTATGTCAAGCCATCTCTTAAGCCATCGAGTAGTAGGATGGCTTTTCAGCGGTAACCCTCAAGCCATAAACAGCCTGCAACCTGAGCTTCCCATACCTAAACCCGCAAACAAGCACTACAGAACCCCTAGATCCCTAAACCATACAGAACCCTAAACCCCAAAGTAAACCCAACAATCCTAAGTAAGTGCATAATGCAGTAGGGTTGCTATAGTAGCAGCAATGATTAGGGTTTGGGCAAGTATATCCCCGAAAGAGGTATTTAGGACCCTAAACCCTAAGCCCTAAACTCTAAAACCTAAAACCTCAAGCCTTGAAGGAACCTTTATAGTAGTTCGGACCTTAAACCTCAAACCTTGAAGGAACCTTTCTAGATCCCTCTGAAGGAACCCTTATTACCCTAAAGGATCCCTTAAAAGGATCCCTTTATAGGGAAACCCCCGCGCCATCGCAGTGGTTCGGCTCCGCCTCCGACGCTGTCCCGTTTGTGTTAAACTGTATGGTGCTTACCCAGAGGCTCCAAAGTAGTTCCTTTTTGGGATTACCTTATAGGTTTCTATATATGAACCCCCGAAGAGCCTTAGGGTAGTAGGGAATGGGTTATGGAGACTGCTATTGAGAATTATTCAGGGACTACTATAGGGATCCATTCTCCCATTCCCTACTAATTAAGCACCAGGGAACAAACAGCGCAGCCATGGACCGCAGAACACGCATGGACGCGAGGGTGCAGGCCACTCCGGTACAACATAGGGGCCTAAATACTTAATTAGCAACACGCTTTTGGGGGGGTTCTATCTTATTATAATTATAGTATAATAGACCCCCAAACCCTATTCTAGTTCCTTATTAGAATTATAGTGTATAGGCACCAAAACCCTATTCGAATTCCTTATTAGAATTATGTAGTATCATCGGCCCCCAAAACCCTATTCTAATTGTTAAGGCCCCTATATTAGGGTCTCGGTCTAGGGTTCAGGCTCGAGACCTATTTAGCCTTAAGCTCCCAGAGAGCCCAATACCCCTTAATTCAGGAGCCCTATATACTTTAAGCCATATTCCTTAACGAAGGTGTATTGGGCTGTCTGGGCGTAAACCTTCAAGCCTAGCCCCAAACGGTCATAATGTCGCTTTTCTCGGTCTCCAATCACCCGGGACCCCGCCCCCCCTCCTTGTTGCAAGAAAAACGATATCACTCAAACCGCGACCCTGAAGCCTAAACCGCGACCCCTTAACCCCAAAGTTGAATTTCAAAGCCTTGACCCTAAAGCCTAAAACCCCCAAGCTCCAAGCCCTAAGCCCCAAAATCCTAAACCCTAAATCCCTGATCCCTTTCAGCCGGGCCCTTGACGGTGGAGGCTTCAGGCAGAGTCTTATTAGTTTCGGGGTTTGGGGATGTAGGTTTTAGGGTTTGGGTTTTTTGGGTTTATGGGCTCGGGGTTCATGCTGAGTTTAGGATTTCTTAGGCATGGCTTTAGGCTCCCAGTATGTAGGGCCCATAAGGATCCAAAGGACCAATTCATTTTTTGATTTTGTGATACAATACTACTTCAACGGGCCAAGGGATTGTAAATTCAGAAGCTTAAGAGAACTAGGTGCTTGTACTCCAGGCCTGCTGCTGCATTCGTACATCATGATGGGTACCTTAATACCCTCCCAGGACCTCAGACCATAAATCCTACACCCTAAACCCTAATCCTACACCCCGAACCCTAAGCTCGGAGTTCTTGTGCCTAAACCCCATTAGAGGAATAGAGAACTACCTACCTACATAGTACCCTCATAGAAACCCTATAGGGACCCCCTTTAAGGAACCCTTAAAAGGGACCCGACGCCCTAAACACCCACATGAGAACCTATTTTTGTGATGCGGGACTCCTTCGGAGCACTTTCACCACGAGTATGGTACAGCGACGTTAAGAATCAGTTATATTTGCGTGAGGGGGGGGCTCGGTTTCGGGACTTGAGGCTACCATGGATGTCTTAACCCAAATTTTAGTAGTTTGAAACGGCAGCAAATAAACAAAAAACACAGGTTCAAGAAATGAGAGCACAGGAAGTGTCGAGCCCGCAGCATTTCCCATTCCAGCTCATGTGCTTATCCGCTCGGGCATGGCATCCTTCAGACTCCTTAAACACATCATATCAATCCCATTTTTTACCCAGCTTGTAATCAGCCTCTTACAAGAACCCCCCAAAATTAGAAGTCGAGCCCCTCGTTTTCTGAAATACGAATGGTTCGTTTTCTTATGCTAGTGGGTTCTGGGCTTGCCTAATAAAAGCTTAATCAGGCCTTAATAACAGCTTTGGAGGGCTCTAGAGGCTCTGTAAGGGCTTAAAGGGGGCTTAAATTTTTGCCATATAGCAAAAACACCACCAAAACAAGAAATTGAGGGGCTCGAATTCTTATTTTTTTTGGGGGGGGGTTCTTGCAAGGGCTGATTGCAAGCTGGGTAAACATACGAAATCTAGTCCGGTTTTCTTTTTTCGCGAACAACACCAGCGATGAGAAGAGCAAAATAAGAAATTGGCACGCCGAGTCTAGGGTACCCTGGATTTCTTATTTTGACTGCGCACATTTTGCATTTGTTTTGTCGCACGCCTGTCCGAGCGGCTCAATTCCTTAAACTAATGATTTCTTAAGCAGTGCTGTTGCTGTATTACGTTTACCTATGAAGACATGTGCGACCGTTCTGTGTTTTGTGAGCGTTTTTTGGGGTTTGCTTTCTTGCACCGGGTTCTCCACAAGACATTGCTTGCTTACCCCCACTAGGGAGCAGAGACGAGATTACCAGTACCCATGTCTAACTCTCCCTTTTTGGGTGCTTCTTGTTTCCCAAAGGGTGAGTCCTATGTACTGTTATGGGGGATACTTCCCTAAGCCGCCATAATAGTAGTTCCTATAATATCATGGAAACCCTGGACCCTTTCGGTTTTCTTTATCTAGCTATGGTGCAGCTGTTTGTTGCTAGTGATGCTCATGCTCTTACTGGCTAGAATCAAAGGGGAAAGGAGGGACCCTTAATGGGGACCCCTGCCCTATAATTTGAAACGCTGCACGTCGTCCGCCTCGGCCCGGCTGTACTCGCATAGATAATTTCTATTATAGAAACCTTCTTTGTACTATGTAGGTACTTGGAAACCTTTGGGAAACCCTCAGTCCTAAACCGTTTTGCAGCTTGAAAGCTTGAGGAGTTTGGAGGTTCACAAGTTGCTGCAGGGGTGGGCATGGCGGATTCTCGCCAAACAGAGGCTTAGTTCCCAGCTGTAGTTTACAAGGAAGCCTGCGCAATGATCCACGATGAAAACTCAGTAGTGTCGTGAACTGAAAACCGGATGCCCTATGTAGACCTCCAACCCCGATGCCAAGAACCAAATCCTCGGCCCTGAACCTGGAAGTACAGGCGAATGTCAGTGCTGCTGACAAAGAGCAAGTCACCGCGCTTCACTGCAGCTTAAAAAGCATGGTTGCTTAGACTCGGCCTGCTGCCTACACTAACAAGTTAGTTTGAAAGATTGGGGTTTTCTTGCTTTAGGGGTCTTGAAGCTTTTGTTTCCTGCTTTCGGGTCCAGGTATTGTCCGGGCTTTGAAAATTTTCCAGGCTGGGGTTTAGGGGCCCCCAACAAGTAAAGATGCTACATTACAGTCCCCTGTCGTCGGAAACTCTCACAGTGTTGCAAGCCTTGGCGCCCTTTGGCCCAAACACCCGACTGCAGGGAGTGAGCATAAAGAATCGGGAAAGCGGGAAGGCAGGCGGGGGAAGGGTTATGGCAGGGAGTGAGCATAATGAATCGGGACAGCGGTGGGAAGAGGAAACAGGGAGAGCGAGGGGGGGGGGTGAAGGGGTGGGAGGCACGGGGTGCGGGGGGCCAGAGGGGGGACGGGGGGGGAGGAGGGGAGGGGTGTGTGTGGCATTTTTTTGGGGGGGTGGGGTCACTGGGGAGGGGATTAGGGGTGGGGAATAGAGGGAATCCGAAGGAACCTCTGACCGCTTCGGCCGGGGCCGAGGCGAATTGGCTATATCATGGGTATATAATAGCCAGATTCAGGGTATATACCTAGGGGTCCTCATTAAGGGTCCCTCCTTTTACCCTTGCATAGAACATCTATGCAGCAGTATGGAAAGCTTCCCAACCCTTGCGTAACTTAAACCGAGACCGTACGTTTAGGTTCGGAAGGTGCCTCAGGCAGACCTTCTTGCAACTCTCTAGACTCGCTGGGTCGTTGGTTTCTCTCGGGTTTAATAGAGTTTTTGTTTATAGTGATTCTGAGTGATTCTGCAGGATCTCTGTATACAGGGTTTCGAAGTAAGTAACTTCTGTTGTAGCTAATTGTAGCAAGAGTTCATATCGCCTTTTCCGGATGTACGGCTAAGAGTGATTGATTTAGGGCAAGAGATCATGTCAAGGCGACACTAACCTCAAAGCCTACAACCTAAACTCAAAGCCTGAACCCTAACCCTAAACCTAAAAGGAACCTTTACAGGAATTGTAGGAATGCTTAAAGGAACCCCCCTATTGGACTCCTAAAAGGAAACCTTAGACTAGAGGAGCCCGAAAGCCCAGACCTTCCAAAACCCGCTTAATTAAGGAATATACCATAAAACATACTAAGGATCCTACTCTAATTTAAGGTATATTCCTTAGTTAATGGGTTTTGGAAGGTCTGGGTAGTAATTACCTATACTATTTTGGGGGGTCCTTATTATAAGTGTAGTATTCTGGGCCCCAAAACCATATCCTAGATACTAAGGCCCCTATTCAGGATGACTCGGAGAGCCCTCGCGATCGTGCACGCGGGCTGCCACTTCCGGCGAGAGCGAGACGACTGGAGGATGGCGGGGGTTCCTTTTTTTGGGCTCTTAGGGTTTGCAGTTTGGTGTGTTCGGGTTTGGGGTTTATCAGGATCCCCCCAAAGGCCCGTAGTCGCGGGTAGTTAGTGCGTCTAGGTAGGGTATGGGAGTTAGGCTGCAGGGTTTGGGGTCTGAGGGTTTGGGGTTTGGGGTGTTAGGTTGGGGGTTTAGTGTTTAGGAGTTAGGGCTCATGGTTTGTGTGTCAGGGTTTAGGATTTGGGCATGCTTAAGTTTCATGAAATCCGTTGCCAAAGCCTGAAACAGATCACGGGCAGTCTGTGTAGCGCAGTGCACAAAATGTCGCAACCTTAAACCCTAAACTCTAAGCCCTCAACCCTCGACCCTCAACCTCAACCCAGCACAGATTCATGGTTTTTGCATTCGTTCTGCCGGTGTACGGGGGCATAGCGCGCCAGCGCCGTCGTACCAGAATGTCACAGAGCCGAGATGCTCGCCAACCCATGCTTAGCTTTGTAATCACATAGGATAGCCAATGGGGGAACTTTAAACTTTTAGCCTTATGCATTTGGTCTATCTTAGAAAGTTCAATCTTTTTTGTGCCCGGTTATTGAAGGAGAGAGCACCAAATCACATGATTAAACTGCGTTGTCAGAATTGTGGTTCCCTACTTGGAGGATCATGGACGAAGTAAGGAAGGTTATACAGTACCCAAGTTGGGTTTATACGTAATTTGTATCTACGGTGACTTTATTTGTAGCTCTAGCTACTTGCTAAGTCCCATGGTCCTCCAAGTAAACTCTACACAACCCAGATAGATCATCTAAAGGAACCCTTTAAAGAGCCCTTCAAGGAACCCTAGAACCCTACGCTTGATGGGAGAAATCCTGCATTACCTTAAGGACACTAAGCTATGAGAGTTACGGTACATATTCCTTATTATGCGTAATGCATGATTTATATCATCAACCGTAGTTTATAAATTCCTCTGATCCTCTACAGAAAACCTCAACACTGAAGCCTCCACCAAAAAGCAGAATTCCACCCCCCCCACCTCTCCTAGAAAGGCGATCGGAACCCCGTGAGAATCCGATCTTAGAACCCTGAACTCCATACGGGTGGTTGTCAAAATTATGGTCCCTTTCTGGGTCCCTATTATAATACGGCACCTATGATTTAGGGTACCCAAAAAGGGACCCTAATTTTGACAACTACCCGTACATAAAAAAAAAAACAGTTACTAGCCCAAACACTAGTATCTGCACGTATGTATACACATATTCACATGCTAGATAGATACCTAGGTCACAGAACCGTCTGTAAGTTACATCCTTAGCCCTAGACTTTAGATCCTCCAAAGCTATAAAGCTACAGTAGAAGCGAGAAGTTGGAACATTAGTATCCTCACGCCCTCTAGGACCTAGAGTAGGCCCTTATTCCCTTTTTGCAGGGTTCAGGTTCCCTTACAAGCCCCTTTAAACCAAAAAGGGCACCCGTTTCATTCCTAGGTTACTCTTGGGTCTAGCCCTTACGGGATCCTAGTAGTAATCCTCCTAAGCCCATGTTCCAACTTTCTGGGTTTCGCTTTAAGCCTACCTAGAGTCTCCATTGCAGTTCCGTTTCTTTGGTTAACCAAAAACTATATTATAGGATCCTAACCATAAAACTGGTCAACAAAAAAGGAACCACAATGGAGACTATACCTAGACCCCGCAAACTACCCTCTCGTATACCCCAAATACCCACTACGGTTGATGATATAAATCCTGCATTACCTTAAGGACCCTTAACTACGGGAATCATGGTATATTCCTTATTATGGGTAATGCAGGATTTATATCATCAAGCGTCTCCATTAAGGGACCTTCGGGGGGTGGAGCTTGAGGATCGCCTGGTCCCCACAGAATACGAGAAGCGCTCCTGTGCCGGTATGGGACCAAGGAGCCTCCGTTTCAAAAGGCTTTAGGGTTTGGGGTTTAGGGTTTTAGGGGTTTAGGGGTTTAGGGTTTGAGGGTTTGGGGTTTAGGGTTTCAGGGTTTAGGGTTTCAGGTGTTATGGTTTCAGGGTTTTAGGGGTTTGGGGTTTATAGCTATATAAGAACGCTTAACTTTATCCTTTATACTGCTAAGGGCCTCTTGATAAGGCCTTTTTGCGGAAGCAATGTATTACCCCCTGACCCCGTCCCTCTTACCCTTCTTCAAGTAGAGTTTAGAGCTTTAGGGTTTCAGGGTTTAGGTTTTAGGTGGCTTATAAGGGTTGTTCGAGGAGTTTAGAAGGGTTTGCGTGGCTGACAGGATAACAGAAAGCCTTTGGACACCCAGCAAGGTCCCTGTTCTGAAACCCTATAAACACCACGCAACCCAAATAAAGCGTTCGGAAGCCATATACGAGGTCCTTCTATGCTACACCCCTATGAAGTACAACAAAGCACCTTTCAAGCCTGCAGAAAATCGTCAAAACACTAAACCCTTAACCCTTAACTCCTAAACTTTAAGCCCCTAAACCTCTAAACCCTAAACCCTTAACCTTTAAACCTCTAAACCATCCTAGGGAACCTTAAGCCCCTTCAGCAAGCCCCGCTGCTGTGAGCCCCTGGGATTCTCGGAAAGCCAAAGGATGCTCAATCGGAGGAGCCAGAAAAGAGGGTTTGGGGTTTAGGTTTAGGGTTCTGGGTTTCAGGATGTAGGGAGGGTTTAGGTTTATAGGGTTTGGGGTTTCAAGAATCAGGGTTTTAGGGTTTAGGTTTATGGGGTTTAGGTTTAGGGTGGCCCTGAACCCTTCGGGCAACCTAGGTTTCTGAAACGTTCGCTGCTGGCCCGCAAGGATCCGTGCGATGCGGATTTCAGAAGCACGTCAAAATCCGAAGGCCACGCTGACATATATATATATATATGTATATGTATATGTATATGTATATGTATGTATGTATGTATGTATGTATATATATATATATACATATCTATACATATATATATATATATATACATATATATATATATATATATATATGTGCGGTTGTTGCTTGATTTGTTTTTGTTGGTTTTCTTTGGGGGTGGTCTTAGTAGCTTCCTCATATAACTACCCAACATACAAGGGGGAGCCGTTGTGGGGATCTTCGTCTACTGTATAGAGTCTTCCCCCTCCCTGCAGAACACGAAGCCAACACCCTGACGCGCTTTATTCAATATTCAGAGCTTCCTAAACCCTTATCCTAACCAGTAGCAATTTCCAGGACCCCCCCCGAAGGCCCTTTAATAGACCCCTTATGGTCCTTTTTAGTCCGTATTTGGGGTATATTATAGGGTAGTTGGGGGGTCTAGGTTGTTAACCTGACTTAGCTAGAGGACCTTCGGATTTTATGAGGATTCTGATTGGGGTCTATAATGCGTGCCATGATGTATCCACAGACCCGCTCCTGTTTTGCGGCAAGCTACAGAAAGGGACACACATCTCTGGGGCTTAGGCTTTTAGGTTGCAGGTTTCGGGATTTCGGGTTCAGGGGTTCAGGGTGCACAGCCTTTTCAAGTTTTGGGAAATGAGACTTAAGGGGTGTTGATTTGGCTGCCTGGGATGTTCATAGGATTTTATGGCTTCTTCAGCAGGTTGCTCTGCACAGAATCAGCAAGCTTCTTCATGCAGACCCTGACCCCAAACGCTAAACCCCGAGCCGTAAGGCACACCGTACAACCCTAGACCCTACCGGGCTCTGAACAGTGCGTGAGACATGTGAGAGCAGGCCAGTGTATGCCGCTAATGACCTTTCTGCGCCTTGTGTTATTAGGATTTCAAGTTTGGATACCCATTAGAATCCTGGAGGCAGGAGGGCTGTCGATTCATCTCGGGTTTGCAGGTAAAACTCTACGTGCGGCTACAGGCAGGGATACAAGCATGATAGCCTCAATCTGGGTACTTCCCACCCAAATCTGTTTACCAGGTCTCCTGATCTGCAAGCCGCGTAGAAACAAGCCCTCCGCATCCCATATTGTCCCAAGGGTCCAAATATACTACTGTCATGGAGTTCGGTCCCCCAAACCATTGCTAGGATGGTCTGTTGCGGCCTACGCTTCCACAATGGTAGTGTAGTAGTGTATATATGGACCCTCTTGGGCAGCTAGGGTTATGTCCCAAAGGGTCCTAGGTACTGTTATGGGGGATACTTCCCTAAGTCGTAGTAGTAACTCCTAATATGGAAACCCTACATTCTACTATATCGGTACATAGGACCCTTTGGGTATGTAAGGCAGTTAGTTAGAACTTAGAGCTGCATTTAAAGTATTCCTTCCGAGATCCACAACCCTTTTCAAACCCCATCAAAACCCATACAAAAGCGGTTGTCATCATTAGAATAGGGGTCGGATCGTAGGTGAGAGCAATAATATTTACCTGGACCCTAAGGAACCTACCTTTTCAGGGTTCCCTAATATGATTTCTTTATATAAGTCCTTAAAAAAGTAGGTTATTTGGGGTTTCCTTTATTGTATACGGGATTACAGGGGAAGACCCGTCGTTGAAAACGAAGCCGAACACGCTAAGCCCAAAACCTGGGAGTTGGGATTAGGGGGACCCTCGGGGATACAGACCCTCTCAATAATGTCCCTTTTAAGAGAGCCAGAAGTAGGGTTCGGAAGGGGTACCCTTTAAGGGGTCTCCCTCGTCATGCTACCCAAAACCCTTACATTATCCACTCCACAAGGTTTTCTTGGGAGAATATTAGGAATTGCTATTCTGACTTTGGGAAGTATCCCCCACAACAGTACATGGGACCCTTTGGGAAGGTGGTCTTGGGAAGAAGCCGAAAACCCTACACCCAAAACCTTACATTATCCAGTCCACAACCTAGACCCCCCAACTACCCTCTGACATACCCCAAATACCCACTATGACGGGCCATAAGGACTCCATTATACCCTAAACCCTAATTATCCATTCCACAAGGTGGCCTTGGGAGATAACCTTTCCTCGGCAGCAGCTGCTGGCGATGCGGAAAAAGTGCAGTCGCTACTGGATCAAGGCCGGGAGGTATAGCTCCGTGCTTTTTGGTTTGTAGGGTTTTGCGTTTTAAATCTCTAGGGCTGTAGGATTTTAGGGATTTTAGGATTGATGTGGGGTGTCTAGAAATTTGCATCTTTAGGGCTGTAGGATTTTAGGGCTTTTAGGCTTGATGTGGGGTTTCGTGTCGATTGATTTGGGGTTTGGGTTTTGGGGGAAGGAAGGCAGGGGGCAGGGCCCTAAACCCTAAACCGTACTGTTGATGAGATAAATCCTGCATTACCTTGAGAACCCTAAGCTTTGGGAATTGTGGTGTATTCCTTGTTATGGGATGTATATCATCAACAGTACTTCAGGACACAGCTCGGTGTATGGTTTTGGGCGTAGGCCTCCGACTGTAATGTTGCTTTAAGGGGCTGCTTCAAGCGATCGTCAAGGGTTCCTTTAAGGGCAACGCTGTTAGCATCCTGAGTATCGTCCATACACAAGAGGGGTCTTGTGAGTGTATATCATTAGGTGCACGTATCTACTTGGGGAATCGTGGGACATAGAAGTACAGTATAAGGTTTTAGTACTTTGATCGTAGTTATAAACATATTAACATATTTGACCACGGTCATTCTTTATACCAGTACTTACTGCGTCTCAAGATCCTCGAAGTATGTGCTTACTATACGGGCGTAAAGAGTTACTAGCACCATTTTGGGGGTACCTCATTCTAAGTATAGTATAATGGGCCTGAAAATCGTATTCTAATTATTAAGGCTCCTAACCCAGAGGGTCCAAGTACTCAAATAGTAGGGTTTTAGATCCCAAAATCCATACCCTGAGTGGTTTTTGGAGCTTGAAACCCTACTATTTGGGTACTTGGACCCTCAGGGTCATTCTAAGTATAGTATAATGGGCCTCAAAATCGTACTCTAATTATTAAGGCTCCTAATACCAATTACGAGATCTGTCCCTAAGTATAGTATAATGGGCCTCAGAATCGTATTCTAACTATTAAGGCTCCTAATACCATTATAGAGATCCGTGTGCAGTACAATGGGCTACAAAATCGCATTCTAATTATTTAGGCTCCTAATGCTATCATAGAGATCTAAACCCTAAACCCTAAACCCTAAATTCCCACCCAGGCCTGCTTAGGCCGTACCCACCCTTTTTCTTAGGGTGCCTGGACCCAGAAGGAAATCCGGCAGTGATTGACGCCAACTCTGGACGGACAATGGGTGCAGCCATTGGAGAGTGGTCGAATTCAGCCCCTAGGGCTGAGCCAAGCCATTAGGCCCCTTGCCAAACCCCACGACCAAATCCCTTGATGGACGTTTCCATTTGGCCCCCCTCAGAAAAGGCCCCAATCCCCCTGACCCCCCCTGCCCTGGCCCCCCCTCCTGGCCCGCCCTGGCTGGCCGCCCTGACCCTCGCCACCTGCTCTGTTTTGTGGCGTGTGTAAGTGCGGCCTTCCTGGCCCCAACAGACAGACCAGGGGCAGGTGGGAGTTGAGGGCGTAAGCGCTAAACCCTAAAAGGCAATGTTTTGGGTGGTAGCCTGTGTATTCTCACAGCGGGTGGGAAAAGGTGAGGAACCAATGTGTAATTGTTTAGTGATGGAATCGCATTCGAACGCTAGACGTCGATATGCCGCCCCCCCACACCCCTGGGAGTGTTGGGGCGCCATCCTACATAGAAAATACTGCCGCTGCGCGGCGAGACGCCCTAAACCCTAAACCCTATAAACCATCTGTGTGCCCAGAGGAGCAGATCCCAATCATGTGCACGACACGATCTGCTTTGACGTACCCTTGGCTCGCACGTCGAATGTCCAGGCGTCCTGGGCTGAGGTTTAGGATTTAAACTAGGGTTTAGGGTTTAGGGTTTAGGGTTGCCTAAACCCTAAACCCTAAATCCTAAACGGGGCTTTTTGATCGAGAGTTTGAGTTCAACGAGCATGGCCTATGGACCCCCTTAAGCCTAAATGCTGCTAAGACCAAACTTAGGGGTACTTAGAACTATTTTTTAATTTTGGTTATTATAATCCCTAAGAAACAGCTGAAATTGTAATTTTTGCTAGGGTTCTAAGTTCAGTAAAGCAAACTTACCATCAATCCTAAATACAAGTAGCATTTGCACTTTGGCCTCCAAAGGGACATACCCCAAAGCCCTGTGGGAAGTATTGCGGCTCCTATGTTTCCTTGTTTGAGTGTTTGGACATCTGGGGTTTGTAGGCGTTCAAGTCTAGTGTGGTCTTTTTTTGAAGGTGGTTTAGGGTTCAGGGTTCTGGTAGTTTTCGGTTGGTGTTCGTGCTTTACTGCTTCAGGGTTTGGTGTGACTTCTGATTAGTTTTGTAGTGCTTTAGATTCGGTGCTTTGTATAGGGGTTGCAGTTTACGGCTACTTGCAGGTTGGGATGGGGGGTTGACGTCGTGCGAACATCTCACGCAAGCTGTAGTTGTAGCAAGCGGCATCCTATTGATCTGAAGCCTTAGAAGCCTAAACCAAACAACAGCCTTAAGGCTTGGGTACTGCCCCCTCTCAGTGACAGTTGGATAATATTCATAATATAGGTATATTAGGCCCTTAACAGTAGCCCTCTTATAGACTGTTACTGTATGGGAGCTGTACCCAACTTAAAGCCTAGCTAGAGCCCTAGAAACCCTAGAGCCCTAGACACTAAGAAGCGCGTACTTAAGTTTACTTAACGCCCGAAACTTCCAAATGGTGTGAGCCCAGCCCTAGGGGTTCAAGGTCAAGGAACCACTTGGAAGATCTACCTTTAACAAGACATACTACTTAAAGGATCATGGGACTTAGTAACTAAGGTTATTATTAGGGTAACTATGCTTATACCTACTTATAACCCCAATTAAGGTACTTATAACCATACTTAGCAAGTCCCATGATCCTCCAAGTAGAACAACAGAAACAGTTTCATTCGACTGTTCAAGATTCCCGGAGCCACAGCCACAGTCGCCGCAAGAGCGCACCTTATCACATCTCCTTTCTGCAGGTGGCAAAGGCACTGCTCGCTCATCCCAACATTCGTGTCAACGTGAAGGAGCTCCAATTGGGCTCAGGGTATACACAATCGGGATGTTGTCCGGAACTAGGAATGGGGATTCGACTTTCAGATGTTGTCCGGCATCGGGATTGGGGATTCGGCTTTATCAACTGGGTTTGGGAGGCTGGCTTTGGTATTGCCATGACTGGCTTAAAGACTTGCTGACCTAAATCCTCAACAACTCGAGCCCATGCGGTCCCGAACCCCGAACTTCAAGCCGAAAAAAGACACCCTAAACCCTCCCAGAGAACGCCACCCGAGAAGCCTGGATAACTACGTTATTCCATAGGGTTCCTGATTATGTTAATCGAATTCCTGAAGAAGGTATGTGTTTTGGGCTCCAGATAAACCTTGCACGTGGAGCTGTCGGATAGGTTGAAATTCTTGCTCCTCTGTTTTCTAGGCAGCTTTCTATGGGTTGCCCTCAGCTCTGATTAAAGAACACTTTCATTGGTTTGGTACATCCCTCAACGTGTCGTACGGAACAGCGAGGACATCAACGACTACAGCATTCTGTGCAACATGGTCTTGTGACTTGGCATTGTCGTTGAGCCTGGTCTTGCGCTGTGGGACGTGTAAACCCTAAACCCCTAAACCCCAAAACCCTAAAGCCCCAAAACCACTAAACCCGAAACCACGAAACCCTAAAGCCCCTAACAAACTACACCCCAAATCCCCAAAGGGCTGAGCAGGTCTCTGAGGTCTTTGTCAAGCCTGTCGGCTGCAAGTGGGTCAGCACTACCTTCACTGTTAGTCTTTCCCTCGGCTCGACCTATGCAAGTTTCATCGGCAAGGTGGTGGATGAGCTAATCAGCAAGTTGCCAAGCCAGCAGAAGATGCTCTTCAAGGATACAGGAAAGAAGAGGCACTCAAAGTCACTCAAGTTCAACGCTGGCAGTGTTGATTTCATGGTAGCTGGTCGCAAGACCTTGGGCAAGATGGGCTTCATCAAGAACACCCTAAACCCTAAATGCGAAAGCATTAGGCTTTATGGCGTAAGCCTAGGGCCGCGTTAGGCCGTAAGGGTGGGGTTGCTGCTTCAGGGCGGAGAGATCCAGCGGGGTATGCTTTCGGGTTTAGGGTTTATGGGTTCAGGGTATAGGGTTTAAGATTTCGGGTTTAAGGTTTAGTTGTTTTAGGTTTCGGGTTTAGGCTATTAGGGTTTAGGTTTCCGGCTTTATGGCTTCGGGGGTAAAAGCAGTAAACCGCTGAAAGCTAAGCTCTAGCGGGAACCCGGAAACCCTACCCTTCTGGAGCACATATTGAATACCCCAACGGGTCCTATGTACTGTTATGGGGGATACTTCCGCAAGTCATCATAGTAATTCCTCATATGGAAACCCTACATTCTACTATATCGGACCCTGTGGGTAGTGCATAATCGTATCATCGTTAATACCTGGTAGGTTATTTAGGGCTTAGGGTGTCGTGTTTGGGGCTTTGGGTTTAGGGTCCCCCAACCGGAAGTTCAGGGCATAGCATCTCTCCCGGGATAGTTTCCATCCAGCAACATAGGTTTCCCAAAACAGATTGCGGATTTGGGGTTTTCTTAAGATCATGCTATCCTAGTCACAAAACTAGTCGCGGTTGCGACTTAGTTACGAAGTCCACTGATGCTGCAGGTACTATCCAATTACATAATAGGGTTTGTAGTGTACTTCTAACTCTCCTGACTCCTCCGTCTTCGGGGTCCCCCAAAACTATCCCAAAATCCAAAACCCCAAAACCGTTTTGGCAACCCCTATGGTACACTTATAAGACATGCAGTGTCCCTGCAGCATCTCAAACCCTAACACCTAATCCTAAATCCTGAGCCCTAGAGAACTCAAAAGTCCCAACCCTGAAACCCTAAAATCCTAAACACCAAACCCTAGACCCCTTTGGCAGAACCTTCTGAACCCTAAACCCTAAACCTTTCTGAGGCATCATGGGGATAAGCCGGATCTGGTTGCTGCACTCCTGGCGCACCCGACGCCAAGCTATTGAGCTGGGGCATCAGGGCTTAGGGAGTACGGTTTAGGGCGGTTTTCTTTATGCGCCGTAATCAACACTTACCTATACTATCTTGGGAGCTGCTTATTAGAATTATAATATAGTGGGCCACCATACTCTATGCTAACTATTAAGGCCCCTATGTTGGGGCTTCAGGGTTTAGGGTTTATAGAGCTTTCAGGATTCGTGTGTCGCTTCTTCCAGGGCTCTTCTTTAAGGATTCCTTTTCGGGATCGCCAAGGGGTTTTGGGCTTAGGGCTTGGATTCGGTTCCATAGGAGCTCTCAGGGTTCTCTAAGTCGGCTTAAGGCCGCAACTTCGAGGATCAGTGGACTTAGTGACTGGAGTTATGATGAAGTAGGTAGCTATGCTTAAGAAGACGTGGAAGTCCAATTAATTACTTACACTAGGTTCCATGATGCTCCAAGAAACCCCAAACCTTAAACCCTAAGCCTTAAACCCTCAACTGGGTTTGGGTTGCAGGCTTGCGCTTCGGGGTACATGGCCTATCTGATGTATAGGGGTACTATAAGGGTTTGGGTTTAGAGTACTTAGAGGATCATGGGACTTAGTAATTAGGGCTATAGACATAGATAGGGTAATCATAGTTATAGCTACTTACAACCCCAATTAGGGTACTTATAACCATGCTTACTAAGTCGCCTGATCCTCAGTGTGAAGCCTAATAAGATAAGGCGAGAGGATCTGAGAGGGTGGTATTACTTGAGTGGTTGTCAAAATTAGGGCCCCTCTTTTGGGTGCCCTAAATACTAAGTGCCGTATTATACCAAGGAGCCCAAAAGGGACCCTAATTTTGACAGCTACCCACTTGGAGGATCATGGGACCTAGTAAGTAAGGCATGAAATCGGAGTTGTAAGTAAAAACAGATATAGTATCCTGTCTAAGAGCCGTAGTTGCTAAGTCCCACGATCCTTTAAGTAGGGAACCTTTGGAGATATTAGGGAAATACAACGGAGAATTGATATTATACTGGGCCCTTGTTAAAGAACTTATATAGTGTAAGTTGCCACAACAGGGATCTGCAGTAAATACGATGATTTCTTGATTCCTTCCTTATGGTAAATTCATCTAAGCTCCTTAACAAGAACCCAGTATACCAGTCATGTAGTTTGCCTGTTTAGAGCTCGGTGTGCACGTAAGGCTCCTTGGATTAGTGGCCGGTCTGTCTGCGGCAGCAATATTGATGAGAATGGTTTCGGGATAAAGGTTTCCGTCTGGCTTCATCTTTTGTTCAGAATGTTAGATACGGCTAGCTTACTGGTTGATAGACACCGAGCCCTGTTAGAATATGTAGACTCCAGAAGAAGTGCCCTAGTTAACATGTCAGCTTGACCACAACCTTACATAACATAACTACTGAATATTTCTCCTGAGGCAAGTCTCTAGAACCCTTCTGATCAAAACTTTAAAGTTCAGACAAACGCTGAGTCTCTCGATCCTTTGAGCACCCTGGACCTTAAACGCGAAACCCTAAACCCTTTACCCTAAACCCCTGAACTAGACCCTAAACCCTTTGCCCGAAATACCAAAAGCGAAACCCTAAACCCAAAGGAAGCTCGTCCCCGACCGCAAAGCGCTGCAGACTGCCGCGCGCTTTTCCGGCCTGGAGGTGTCGGGCTCAGGGTTTACCTAGGCTCCTTGGGTTTAGGGTTAGGGTTTGCGGTTCCTGGGTAGTACTAGGTACCCTTTTGGCCTTAAAAAGGGTTCTGTAAGGGATTCCTTAAAGGCCTCTATGAGAGATCCTTAGAGGGTTCTACAAGGGATCTATAGGGGTTCAGGGTTTACCCGGGTTCCTGGGTAGTATCCTTTTGTTGCCCTTTCTATTGTAGGGGCCCGTTATTAAAACTGAAAGTGGGGAACAAGGGTACCCTTACTACCAAAGGGGTACTCAGAAACTTACTTACGGCCCTGGATCCAAGTTTCCATTGCAACCAGGGAGCTTGAGTAGTTGTCACTACTATTTCTCCGGGTTCCTTAAGCTAGGTACTCCCGGTTCTGCCCTCACAGCCCTGTTCCAATCAACCAGGCCGCAAGGCCCCAACGTTATATCACCCTAAGCCCTAAGCTCTGGAACTAAAGCCCAAAGGGTTCTATGTACTGTTATGGGGGATACTTCCCTAAGTCATAACAGTAATTCCCAATATGGAAACCCTACATTCTACTATATCGGTACATTGGACCCTGTGGGTCAGGAGGTTCTCGATTCGGCTTCCTTTTGCGTGGAGATGCTTCAGGAATTATGCAGTCTTACAGGTAGCTAAGGTCGATGTGATTATGCAGTGCATTCTTTGGCCTTGACCTGGTTCCTACATGGGTCTTCGGGTCAACTCATGTGCTGTGATGAATAGACCCTAAACCCCTAAACCCTAAACCCCTAAACCCTAAACCCCTAAACCCTAAACCCTAAGCCGTAAACCCAATGCTCTCCGGGTGCGAAAATATCAGAGGGCGCTGTGTGGCTCAAATCAGGTTTGGTGAGATGTTCAGAGCTTATGAAGTGGGAGTTTCACAAAATAGGGGACCCTGATATAGTACCCCAAAATAGTAGGATCCTTATTATAAGGACCCGCAAATAAGGTACCACTACTTTTCGGAAACTTCCAAGTAGATCCAAAGCAGGTCATTCAACTTCTCCTGGCGCACCCGGCCTTCCACCTCAACGACAACGAGGCCGAGCGTAACGGTTGAGGGTTTCGGGTTTAGGGCTTAGGGTTTAGGGCTTAGTGTTTAGGTTTTACGGTTTAGGGTTTAGGGTCTGTTGCAGCTGCCAGAAGGGACATAGAATGCATGTGTAACTTCGTGTTTGTCAGGCCTGCTGCATGCTCGAGTTCAAGCAACTTCAAAGCTTTTTCGCAGGTCCAACTCAATGGGTTACTTACTATCTATAAGGTCTGTTTTCAGGGTTGTTACAAGGATTTCTACAAGGGTACTACAAAGTCGTCATCGTAGGTTTCGGGCCCAGCGCTTAGTGCGGGACCCATGAGAAAACAACAGGGTGTTACACACACAGAACTACACAGCGGTATAAAAAGGAAAACCTATATATACATACACATACTTGATGCAGATAGATTCGGAGGGCAGCTTCCAGAGCATTCATAGCCGGATAGCTGGTTTCTGGGTACTCCAGGACTTTGACCCTAAACCGTAAAGCCTAAGCCCAAAACCGAGCCTGGGGCTTAAAAGGTACCCTAAGGGTCCAAGCACCTGATAATCATATACTCACCAAAATCCTAACCTACATAACTACTATCCTAAAGCCGAGTACCTGGTAATTGGGTCCTTTGGACACTTGGGGGTATAGGGGAAGTTTATAGGCTTTGCGGCAGTAGAAGTTATAGGGTTTAGGATTGGCTCAGCATCTTTGCGGAATGGGTTTCTCTGTTCCGGGCTTTGCAACTTGATGTCTGTAGGGTCTTTGGGTTCAAGGCTGAGTGAGCTAGGGTTGTACCCTCGGCCGAGAAACCTGACCGTCTGTTCTGGTGCCAGAGCCTTATCAACATTGACGGTTGAAGTCGGGTTAGCAGAAAATTGTTGAGGATTAATGATTAAGGGCTTGAGGTTGAAGTGTGTACGGGTTTTGGAGTTACAGCTTGAAGGATTGAAGGTTGTAGAGTTTAGGCCATCGCGCCAAGGCCTTGTTCAGGTTGATTGCTGAAGCACTGCAAGGATATGGAGGATCTTAATCCCAAAGGGTCCTAAGTGCCCATATGGTAGAATGTAGGGTTTCTATAGTAGAGTTTTTTGATTTTGATTTGGGACAGTATTCCCCCCATAACGGTGCCTAGGACCCTTTGAGAACGTGGTTGTGCTATGTGCCATATTTCTCTGCGCAGGTGGGCATGCTACATTCTGCTATGTCGAGGCCGCGCGACCTTATGCATTGGGAGTCATGGGACTTAGTGACATAGTAAGTAAGGTTACAAGTACCCTAACTTGGGGTACGTAATTATGACTATAGTTACCCTATTTACAACCCCAATTACTAAGTCCCATGATCCTCCAAGTAAGATAGGGGGCCTAATAGCAAGAAAAGCATGTCGGGGTAGGTTACACACGGTATTGGTGATAAGGAATCCTAGGGGATATGATCAACTACAAACTATGTCTGCCCCTATATTTCTCGGATGCGAGCCCTAAACCCTTCAACCTTGAGCCCTTAACCCCTATGTTACTTGGTTAGCCCTAAAGTCCGAAACCCTCAAACCCTAGACCTCCCTAAACCCTTACACAAAAAACCCTATGTTCGTTGGTTGATGTTGCTTGATTGAGATAATATTTCGGTAGTCATCTTCTTCAGGACCGCCACTTCAATCAACTTTGGGTCCACACACCCCAAAAGCCAGAAAAGCTTGCGCGCCAGGGGTCTGAATAATGCTTGGGGTTTAGGGTTTGGGGTTTAGGGTAAAAGAGTCCGGCTTGTGTGATAGCACAGTATGCACCGGAATCCTGTTCTAGTTGCTGAGGCGCACGTGCTATCTCTGTTGTAGCGAAGTCATAGCTCCCACGTTGCACTCACTACGTCCACTGATACTTCACATGCACTTCCCTAAGCCCCCAAAAGTTCTCCCTAAGCCCTAAATATACGAGCCTAAATCTTAGAATCCCTAAAACTCTACGCCTGGAAGCCACGCCAAAGCCCCTACGCCAAAGCCCCAAACCCCTACGCCAAAGCCCCAAACCCCTATGACCAATAAGCCGAGAATCCTGAACCTTACTTGAAGTTTTTCAACTTATAGTTTACCTGGACCCTAAAAAACCTACCTTTTTAGGGTTCCCTGATATGATTTCTTTATATAAGTCCTTAACAAGGTAGGTTACTTGGGGTTCAGGTAGGGTTTAGGGCTTTACGGGTTTATTTAGGGTTCAGGGTTAATATGGCCCTGAAGCCACAAAAGCCCGTATATAAGCCTGTAAAACCCTGAAGCTTGAAAAGCCTGAACCTTCAAGACTCCTGAATCCCTACTTAAAGGATCATGGGACTTAGTAATTGGGGTTATAAAAAAGTTACTTATAACCTAATTAAGGTACTTATAACCTTACTTACTAAGTCCCATGATCCTCCAAGTAACCCCCCCCCCCCCCCACACACCACAAAAGCCTCCTAAAGCAGGACCCCTAAACCCTAGCCAAAACCAAAAATCTAACTACTAAACCTTGCGCCCTCCTAAAGAAGGACGAAGCCTGATGCCACCGGCATCTTCGCATGGCTTTTGAGTCAAAGCGACCTCGATGTGAACCTGAAACTGAAGGCTCTTTAGGGCTTGTGGGCTTGGGCTAGGGGTTTTGGTCTACGAGTGCGGTTTGGAGCTACACCCTAAACGCCAGACCCTACCTATAGTCTCCATTGATATGTTTTCTTTAGCAGAAAACTATGTTATGGGATTTTAACCATAAGATTGGTTGAACCAAAATAAAGGAACTACAGTGGAGACTATACCTGGATTCCCCAACGACCCTCTAGTATACCCCAAATACCCACTAGCAAGGACTCTGAGGGCTCTATTTTAGGACCTTTGAAAGGTCCTGGTAGGCAAACCCTAACCTTTGAACCCCTGAACCCTAAACCCTCAACCCTTGAACCTGTAGGGGTGCGGGTTTCGGGCTTCGGGGTCTGGGGGGGTTTAGGCTCAGCCTCTTTGGGCTTCCCTGCCCCAGACCTTCCAAAATCCCATATTTGAGGAATAGACCTTAAACCAGATGACGAAAAGACCTACTAAACCATATTAGGGGTTAGGGTTTAGGATCTAGGGCATAATTTGAGGAATATACCTTAAGCCATATCAGGGGTCCTACTATGCTTTAAGATATGTATTCCTCAATCAAGGGATTTGGGAGTCTTGGGTCCCTTCCTTTCTTTGGTTTAAAAGCACCGGTGTAGGGTTTGGAGGTTAGGGAATTCTGTACCTGGACCCTCAAGAACTTACCTTTTTGAAGGGCGTACATATGGAAATCATATTCAGGAGCCTTAAACATCCAGGTGTAATTAGGTTGTTTAGGGTTAAGGTATACATCAAATCATAAGAGGATTGCAATCGTAGGGGGGTTCCATGATTGTCTGATTCAATTACTGCTGTGTTCTTGCTCTTAGGGTTCTGTATCCGCGTACATTGTCTTTGGGCTTCGGGACTAAAGGGCTTTTCGGCTGAAGGGCATTCCTGAGCATGGCAGCTGAGACTTTTGTCTTGTACTATATACAGGGGCCAAAAAAATTACCAATACTATTTTGGGGTTCCTTACTACGGCGAAAGCATAATATGCCCCAAGCCCTAAACCCTAAACCCTAAGCCTATTCTAATGATTCAGGCCCCTGCAGTTTTGGGCGTGGCAGCTTGGGCTTGCCTTGTACAGGCACGGGTTTAGTCAGTATAGCCTGAAAGCTGTTAGTGCTCGTCGCAGGTGGGATGAGTTCTTAAAGGATCCAACAAACAGAACCTTTAATAGGAGGGCCCAGCTTAAGCGCCAGACCAGGAATACATCGCATTGGGATTCTGTTTGTTTAGAACCCTTCTAGTAGAAGGGGTCCAATTAATCCTTCACCGGTCGTGTTTAGGGTTGAGGGTTTGGGATTCAGTGTGCAATGCCCCCAATATAATGGTACTCCACAGGTTCAGGATAGTAGCAGTAGTACTGCAGATTAGTACTTGGGGGAGTAATTAAATGATCGTTTTATATCACCCTAAACCCTAAACCCTAAACCCCAGACATCAGATGCCAACCACAAGGTGTTTTTGGCCTAAGTGCCCACAAATAGAGGCTCTATCGTTTTTTGATTTTGCTGTCTGGGGTTTACCTGGACTCTAAGGAACCTACCTTTTTAGGGTTTCCTAATATGGTTTTTTTTATATAAGTCCTTGAAAAGGTAGGTTACTTGGGGTTCAGGTAGGGGTTTAGGTGTCAGGATGTTAGGGGTTAGGGGTGAGAGGTTTAAGGGGGTTAGATTTAGGATTTACCAAACCCTAAGTTAAGGCGCCCAAGCTTTTCGCCCAAGCACCCAAAGGGTCCAAGTATCATTATGGTATATACTTAGACCCCCCAAATACCCTATAAGTATATACCATAATGATACTTGGACCCTTTGGGGCAGGAGAATGGGGCAACCGCCTTACACCGCGCATCGCAGATGGATTCGCTGACCATAGAGATCGGGCAGACAGTGCCTTTGATCAACACTAAGAACGCTAAGCCCAAACCCCCTACCTTAACCCCACGTAACCTACCTTTTTAAGGACTTATATAAAGAAATCATATTAGGGAACCCTGAAAAGGTAGGTTCCTTAGGGTCCAGGTAGGGATTTGGGAGTTTAGGTGTTTAGGGTTGAGGGCTGATTGTTTAAGGGGAAGGTCCCTCCGTACGAGAGGTACCCTTGTAGAAACCCGTTAATTTTGCAACTCTGCCCATCATATAGTTGAATCAGAGCAACCTTAAGGAAAGACCCCTTTAAGTCCAAAGTTTGGAAGCCAAGTTCAATCCCCTAAGGTCTCCTTTAGGGTTTCCTTTAAGGGTCCCTTAAAGGGTTCCTGTAAGGTTTCCCTTATCGGTATAGGGTTGAGGGCATTAGCGGGTTCGCACCCCCCTGCTGACATCAGCACCCACTTTGCTGTTAGTGTCGGCAGACTCGTACGACCTTGGGCGTTGAAGCTACAGGTGTCGCATGTAGCTAAAGGAAGGCTGCTGAATTAATGGAGTATATCAGTTGGGAACCATTAGATTTATATCCCATAAAATTTTCCCAGAGAGCTAAACACTGCATGATAAAGTGTTTTCGGTGATTTCAAAAGACAGTTTCTCACTTAAGGAGTATTGGAAGGTATTTTTCTCTCTGCGTTCTCGGAAAACAGAAGATTGGTGTATTGAGGGTCTGGAAGCTTGGGTTGGGCACGCGCAGCATGCCAAAGCAGCCTTGAGCCCTACAACCTCGAAGGAGCTAAGCGGAAGAAGCCCAAATTCCCCAGCCGCAATAACCCCATGGACACTAAACTGCCCTAAGCCGAAAGAGCTTCCAAACCCTAAACCCAAACAACCTCTACGTAAACCCTAAACCTAAATCCAACCTTTGAACCCTCAATCCCAAAACCTCTGCCCCCTGGTAGTAGAGTAGGTAACCTTTTAACCTCTTTTAGGGTAGTATAGTCCCTATAGAAGCCCTGTATACCCCAAAAGGCTAATTAACCTTTACTTGGAGGATTTGGGGACTTAGTAATTGGGGTTATGAATAGGGTAACTATAGTTATAACTACTTATAACCCCAATTAGGGTACTTATAACCTTGCTTACTAAGTCCCGTGATCCTCCAAGTAGACCCTAAACCCTAAACTAAACCTACAGATGCCTTTAAAGGAACCCTGTAGATCCCTTTAAGGAACCCTGTAGATCCCTTCAAGGAGCCCCCTTACCTACTAAGTCCCCTGATCCTCCAAGTGGTTCCCCATGATACCCGACAAGTAGGACCCTAGACTCGCAAGCCTCTCCAACCATGAAGCCCCAAACTTTGAGGAGAAGCCGTAAACCCAGGGTTGTAGGGTTCCTTTAAAGCGATCTATAAGGGCTCCTTAAAGGGGTCTATACGGGTACTATAAGGGTTTGGGGGATAAGCTCTAGACCTTAGACCCTACCTAGAGTCTCTAATGTAGTTCTTTCTTTGGTTAACCCAAAAAGCATATTATAGGATCCTAACCATAGAACTGGTTAACCAGAAAAAGAACTATAATGGAGACTATAGGTAAACCCTTATATAATCCTCTAACCCTAAACCCTAAACCCTAAACCGTGTAAACCTAAACCCAATAGTCTCAGCCCGTAAAGCCTAAACTCTGAGGAGAGGGGTGTGAAAACAGCCATCGCAAAAGGGCAGGCTCTCGGGGCCGGGCCGGGTCAGGCTTGAGTCAGATGTACAAAGAGTAGCCCTCCAAGGGCCGAAGCCCCCAGACCCGCACAACAGGTTTAGGGTTTAGGGTTTAAGGCTTAAGGTTTAGGGTTTAGGGTTTAGGACTTAGGGGTTTAGGGTTTAGGGTTTAAGGTTTAGGGTTTAGGACTTAGGGTCTAGCGTTTAGGGTTTAGGGTTTAGGGTAGGGTTTACGGGGTATATTATGGCATAGGCATAGTCAACGCGACAGCTTTTACGGATTCTTGACAATAGTAGGATCCTTTGTATGAATACCTCGTCTAATCCCAAAGGGTCCTATGTAACGTTATGGGGGATGCTTCCCTAAGTCATAGTAGTAATTCCTAATCTGGAAATCACATTCTAGTATATAGGTACATAGGACCCTTTGGGAATATAGGACCCATGATTCAAAAAACTTCCGGTTGGGCACTGCAGAAGACAGACCAGGCAGGCCTCTACAAAACGCCAACATAGTTGCACAGGGCATTCTGCAAGTAGTAGACATGCCACCAGCTACCACAACCGACTTTTTTTGCAGGTTCTTGAGCCCCAATACGGAATTTGTAGGGATCCTACAAAAAAGTAGGTTTTGGTAGGTTAAGATACATGACCCAGACGATCCATATACACTACTATATGGAACCAGGTCCCAAAAACCATGATAGGGATGGTCTTTTGGGACTTAATGCCATAATAGAGTAGATATGGACCGTCTGGGTTATGGCCAGGCGGAGAGGCTCCAAATGCTCCTCCAGCGCCCGGATTTAGATGTCAACGCGGTGGACACCAAAGGCTCGGTTTGGGGATCATGGGTTTAGGTTTTAGGGTTTAGGGATTAAGATCAGGGTTTAGGGTTTAAGGTATTAAGATTAGGGTTTGGGGTTTTAGGGTTCAGGGTTTAGGGGCGGCTGGTGTAAAGACTGAGATAGCAACTGCCAATATACTGGTCTGTCTTAGACGACAGTTTGAAGCTTTTGGGCCCCTGCTACCCAAAGTCCTTATACTGCTAAACTCTTAAGCCTTTGAAGCACTAACCCCAAACCCCCGAATCCCCCCCCCCCCCTCCACTTAGGCCCTAAACCCCAAAACCCGTAGACCCTGAACACCCCTGATCCCCCAAACCCTAAGCCCTCAGGCCCCTCAACCCCTTGAACCTCTAAACCCCTAAACCCCTTAACCCGAAACCGAACAGAGGAGCTGGTGGGTTCACTGTGCATTTATCCTAAACACCTTGTCGATGGTCTCTATCGTACTTGTGTTTTTTGTTTAGTGCTTAGGGGCTATAGTTTGGCTCTAAGAAGGGCAACCGTCGAACAGAAACTACAATGGTGAGCATGGCTATAGTGATGACCCAGTGGCCTACCATACAGGTCACCGGTGCAGAAGACCCGAACAACGAACAGGGTTTGGAGCAAATATATTCTAGAAGGCTTTGGAGACGGATTTGCTGCGATGCCCTATGCTTGATCCTACGGGTGTCAGGAGTCAGGATAATACTGATGTTCCAGTGTTTTTGCTGCTAGCTGAATTGCCAGGTGCCACGCCGCTGCATTGGTATGCTTCTGCTGGACGCCTTGACCTAGTTCCAATGGCCGCAGACAGGATTTCTGCATACCCACACCCCTTGAACTATCTACTGGACAAGTCTAGTTCGACATTTTGACATGTCTGGGTATGTGTTATGTTTAAGCCTGCGGCGGGTCCAAACGCAGTTGCATAACTAATACCCTGAAGTCCATGTGCCCTAAACCCTAAGCCCTAAACCCTAAACCCCTAAACCCTAAACCCCTAAACCCTAAGCCCTAAACCCCTCAACCCTAAGCCCTAAACCCCATTTAGTTATATAATCCTGCGGCCCCAGAGTTCCTATATAAGGACGACATTAAGGAAGTCTATAGGATAGGAGTACATGAAGCCTTCGTGAAGCAACCTTTTTAGAGTCCTTTATGAGGTGCCGTCCGATTTCGGGGGACCTAAAACAGGACCCCAATAGAACTACCCATGTTGGTGCCTGAAGAATGGCCCGTTCAATACTATTCCTTGGGGTTCTTTAGCATGATAACCATCCTAAAATGACCCCCTACACCTCATTCGAGGGTGCATTTCAAGGTGTTCCACTTGACATTCTCAGAATTCATGGTGAACCAAGCACTCATCGGGATCACCCTAAGTAGTGAATGCTTAAGCCGGAAGTGGTGGCACAAATTCGAGTCTCGCGCTGTCCTCAGGTGCGGATTCTCATTGCAGACCCACGTGTGCTTCCGAGCCTTTGGCATCACACCGCCGATGGATTGTCTCCTGCAGAGGCCTCTCACGATGTTTCCGGTGTATTTAGGTAGCCCTAAACCATAGACCCTGAACCCTAAACTCTAAACTCTAAATCCCTGAACCCTAAACCCCAAACCCCTAAACCTAAACACCTAGACCCCAACATCCTGAAGGTTCATTTCTTATGCCTGACTCATGCATGGTCCCTTGTCATGGCACTTAGGCCTTAGTCGCTGAGTAGGTAACCTTTAACCTTCGGGGTTTACATAGTCCCAACATAAATCAAAAGGTGAATCTGCGTTGGGCTAGCTCAGTTTAGGGTTTAGGGTTCCTAAACCCTAAACCCTAAACGAAGCTCTTTTCTATGTAAATGGGCATCTAGCTCAGTTTAGGGTTTTGTTCCTAAACCCCAAACCCTAAACGAAGCTGTTTTCTATGTATATCGGCATCCTTGATCTTGCTCTTGCTGCTTGGGCGCGTAGTTCGTTCGGTAGTTTTGTACAGGGTTATGCGGCCTGGGGCTGAGGGGTTAAAGCTTAGGGCTTAGGGGCTCAGGTTAGGATTTATGTCAAGGCTTAGGATTTAGGGGCTTAGGTTGGGGTTTATGATTATGGCTGTGCTCAGGGACTACGATTGTGACTATGACTACTGCCGCTGTTAACTGCTGATGTTGATCTTGTCAGCGACATTGTGAGTGGGACGTCTGACCCCGAGTGTGACCTCGGTTTCCGCACTTCGGGCTTACCCATAGGCTCCATAGTATTTCCTTTTTCGGCGGATTACCTCATAGGGTTCCGAATATGATCCCCCAAAAGGAACCCATTACCTAAACTTAAACCCTAAACCCTAAACCTTAAATCCTAAACTTAAACCTTAACCCTAAACCTTAAACCTTAAATCCTAAACTTAAACCTTAAACCCTAAACCCTCAACTTAAACCCTAAACCCTAAACCTTAAACCCTAAACTCTAAACCTTAAACCTTAAACCTTAAACCTTAAATCCTAAACTTAAACCTTGAACCCTTGAGCAGGTCGCTGCCAGCGAGCGCGACCGGCCACGTGAACGTTGGGCCCCAGCGCCCCTGCTGGCCCAGTACCAGGTGCAGCTGTCCCTGTGCTTACTTACTTGGAGGGTCGGGGGACTTAGTAAGTCCGTAGTAAGTTGACTTATAAGTACCCTAAAAGGGACCCTAATTGGGGTTATGGTACTTATAAGTCCCTAAAATAACCAGTTTCTAAGTCCCCCGACCCTCCAAGTAAAGGATCATGGGACTTAGTAATTGGGGTTATAAACAGGGTAACTATACTTACAACTACTCATAACCCCAATTAAGGTACTTGTATCCTTACTTACCAGGTGCAGCTGTCCATGTGCTTAGGGCTCCTTTAAGGGTAGTATAGGGTTCCATAAAGGGCGGGCCGTGGAGGGTTTCTTGATCTTGGTCAGGGCTTGGTGCCAGCTTTGCATGATTATCCTAACCCTTCTATGGCAAATTATAGGGTATCCTACCATGAAACCATATTCCAACTTTCTGGAGTTCCCTGTAGGGGCTTCAGGGTTTAGGGGCTCGGGGCTCTCATGACCCCTCAACGGTTCCCAGACCTTCCGAAACCCCTTAATTAAGGAATATACCTTAAATCATATAAAGGATCCTACTCTAATTTAAGGTATATTCCTTAATTAAGGAATATACCTTAAATCATATTAAGGATCCTACTCTAATTTAAGGTATATTCCTTAATTAATGGGTTTTGGAAGGTCTGGGGGGGGCTTCAGGGTTTAGGTGCTCGGGGCTCTCATGACCCCTCAACTGTTATAGCATAATGTACCCCCGAGCCAAGCCCTTTCTTTACCTGGACCCTAAGGAACCTACCTTTTCAGGGTTCCCTAATACGATTTCTTTATGTAAGTCCTTAAAAAGGTAGGTTACGTGGGGTTAAGATATATAAGATCCCAAAACAGATCCCTGAGGGAAACCGTGGAAACCCCTCAAAAGGAACAGGTTTGCGCACTATTGGATCCTAAACCCTAAGCGGCCCTAAACCAAAAACCCTAAAGCCTAAAATCCTCTAAACCCTAAACCATCCTAAACCCTTGAAAATCCTAAACATTGAACACTCCACGCCCTAAACCATCCAAAACCCTTGAAAATCCTAAACCCTAAACAACCTTTGAAAACCCTAAGCCCTAAACCCTAAACAACCCTTGAAAATCCTAAACCCTACTGTGCACCCAGCTGCTGCCAGGAGGTCATCGACCTGCTTGAGCGGAGCGCGGAGGAGCGCAAACACGAGCTGGAAGGCGGATATCTGTGCAATTCTGTGCAGTTTAGGGGCTTAAGGGCTTTGGGTTTTAGGGTTTAGGGTTTTAGGGCTTAGGGTTTTAGGGCCTAGGGTTTTAGGGTTTAGGGGTTTAGGGCTTAGGTTTTTAAGGGGGGGGGGGTTAGGGTTTAGGGTTTTAGGGTTTAGGGTTTTCGGATTCTGTACAGTGCTTTGGAGTGCTGGTTCTCAAAGAGTCTTAAGCACATACACGGTAGAATGTGGGGGTTCTAACTAAAGTAGAAGTTACTATCATGGTTTGGGTAAGTATCCGCCATTTGGGCATGCCGACACATGATGCAGGTTTGTAGTCAACTTATGTTCGCTGAGAATGAAGAAAACCCTATCCGTAGATACCGATTTGGGGTTTATTTAGGGTTTGGGTTTGCTTGTGGTTCTGCTACTGTTCTTTATAGTCTCCCTAGGAAATAGTTTGTGTTTTCGTTCATCTAAAATCCAAGAGTTTATAAACAAATATTGCTTTTATTATGGTTCTCAGGGGGGTATAGTAAGCCCTACACCCCTAACTCCCTAACTCCCTTTACCCTACAGATCGGACGGCCGGCCAGACCGATGGTGCCCTGAATCTGCAAAGCCCTAAACCCTGGGGACCAAATGACCGTAATAATTAGGGGCCCCATACCCTTATGCTATGAATCCCTATATGGTATATGAACCTTAAACCCTTTTAGGGTTCATTTCGTCCTTAAGAAACCATAAGGGTCCTCAGAGCCAGGTCCGATGCACTGCCAGGCATCGTTCCAGGATTTAGGGTTTAGGGTTTTAGGGTTTAGGGTTTTAAGGTTTGGGGTTATTTTCAACCGAGTAGTAGAAAAAAGGGTACCCTTGTTATGAAGGGGCTGCCCGGGAACCTAGCTATAGACCCTTAGCCCCTGACCGCTTGTAGACCCCTCAAAGGAATCCACTGCCAGGCATCGTTCCAGCTGAGCTTGCCAAACATCCGGGCACCTGGTCGATGGCTGTTCGCTCGCTTTAGGCGTTTCGAAACCCTGTGAAGGCCAAGCCAGCGCAATATCAACAGGATGAAAGCAGGCGGTGTAATCCCAAAATAGTTAAGAGTCACTCTCATCAGGGATCCTTGATCCTACTCAGCTGGTGTAATCCCAGAATAGGAGTCATCGTTCTCAGGCATCCTTCATCCACTTCAGCTTCATCTAGTCATAGTAATAGCAATAGTAGTAATTGCAATAGTAATATAGAACCCTACTATATGCCGTTTATAGACCCCTTTATTAAGGGTCCCTTGAAAGGAACTCTGTTCGAATTATTAAAGGCCCTGTATTAGAGCATGTTTGGCCCTTCAGGGGAATCCACCAATTGGTTTCGGGATTAGCTTTAGGAGATTGTTTAGGGCTTAGGGTCAGCCACTTCCAGGGTTTAGGGCTTAGGGTTAAACCCCAAAGCCTAAACCCTAAACCCTGCAACTTGCCGATGTACCTTGCGAACAGCATCGGCGACCCTGTTGCTGCATTCGCCATGAGTCGCATGAAACCATCTTTGACTCATGTGTCGGTGATGGTTTGCTCGAGCTTAAAGGTCCCGGAAGGCCAGGTTATTATTAGAATAACTATATTCATAACTACTTATAACCCCATTTACGGTACTTATAACCATACTTACTAAGACCCACGATCCACCAAGCGATTTTAATCTCATGTTTAGTCTTGCTGTGTCGCTTGCGTCGTGTACTGGCTCTTTACTGGTCATAGCATTGGCCCCCAGGCCCTAACCCAGAACTTCCAAACTCCGTTAAGTAAGGAATATTTCTTAAATCATATCAAGGATCCTACTATAGTTTAAGGTATACCTTCTTAACCCTGAATAACCTACCGTTGTAGGGTTCCTTATTATGATTTCCTTATATAAGTCCTTAAAAAGGTAGGTTATGCCGGGCTAAGTTATATTTATTCCTTGAGCCATATTAGGGATCCTACTATAGTTTAAGATATATTCATTTAAACTTTAAACCGTATTAGGGATCCTACTATAGCTCAAGGTGTATTCCTTAATTACCCAGATCCTCCCGGATCTAGAAAGTAGATCCCCTAAGTTGGGGCCTTTATACTACTAAGGGTACTTTATAGGAACCTCCCAATTTCAGGGATCTACCCTAAACCCTAAAACCCTGTAGATACCTTAAAGGGACCCTTAAAGGAACCCCTACAGGAACCCCCATTAAGGGATTTTGGAGTCTCTGGGTACGTCCCAGCAGCCCAAGGGCCCTGGACGGTTAAGGCGAACCCTCTGTGCACGGAGCGTCTATCCGGAACCTAAAGCCGGGGTTTATTTAGGGTTTAGGGTTTAGGACTTAGGGTATGGGGTATGGGGTTTAGGACTTAGGGTTTAGGGTTTTGGGGTATAGGGTTTAGGATTTAGGGTTTAGGGTTTGGGGTATAGGGTTTAGGATTTAGGGTTTAGGGTATAGGGTTCAAGGTTAAGGTTTTAGGGTTTAGTGTTTAGGGCAAACTCCGGCACAGCAAAATGTAGATATGAGTCCAAGACAAAAAGGCCTAAGACTACCATAGAGAAGCCTAAATATTTCGTAACATTATCCGCCAGGATTCTTTATCATGGCCATTGTATCATGTACCTAGAAGCCCTATTGCGATTGGGCGTGAGGAGCATGCTAGTGACCATGACTTTGAGAGCGATGGTGATGATCGTGGCGGTGGTTTCTGATCTTGCGAGTCGGCGCTGTTGTTGTTCATGTTAATGTTGATATTGGCGATGGCGATGGTGGTGATGATGATGATGGTGATGATGATGATGACGACTTTGTGAGCGTATTGGTCATTATGCTCTGCCACTCTTATGTTCATGACCCGTGGTAACCTGTGCTGTTGAGACCTTTTTTGGTGTTGCTACTACTATGACTGTCGTTTTGATGTCACGCGTATGCTTGTCCTAAGACACTATGCCATCCTTGTATTATATTGAGCATGTAGTAGGCACAGGTCTTGAAGATTAACCCCTCCCGGATATGCTGGCCAGCATCTTCATAAGCCCCTAAACCCCAAACCCGAGACCCTAAGCCCCCAAACCCTAAACCCCTAAACCCTAGACCCCTAGACCCCTAAACCCTAAACCCCTAAACCCCAAACCCCTAAACCCTAAACCCCTAAACCCCAAACCCCTAGACCCTAAACCCCCAAACCCTAAACCCCTAAACCCCAAATCCTAGATCCTAAACCCATGAAGACGATGACCAAAGCAAGAGCAAACTTCACACGTCAACACTTTGAGCCGACGCCCTGGCTTTCGCGATTGTACAGCTTGGCACTTTGCAGATAAAAAAGAGTGGTTTAGGGTTTTGGGGTTTAGGGTTTAAGGGTTTAGGGTTTAGGGTTTTTAGGGTTTAGGGTTGGGAGCAGGGAGCACAGATTCACCCACTTTCACATAGTTCTACTGTTCTACTCTTCAGACAGCAAGGGTATATGAGCGATGTGCCGATCGAACTGCGCAACATGGAAGAACTGCCTGCGCGATACAGCAGCAACCACCAGATCGCTGGGCATGCCAATGTTGCTGATGTTGATGATGGTGATAATGTTATCCTGGTGATGTTGCTGCCACCGCTGCTGGCGTTCATAATGATAATGATGGTGATCATGTTGATCATGATGATGATGATGTTGTTAGTGATGACGATGATGATGGCCCGGCGAACAAGCAGGGCAGGTACCTGAACTAACGATGACGAGTGTGATGAGTGGGATGGTGTTGACCGTAATGATGCAGTGGACGATGACGATAGTACTGGTCATGGCAATGGCATCGACGATAAGCCTGGCAGTACAACTGCTGCTGAAAAGGGATCAGGAGGTGAAGGAGGAGATGGAAAACGGTGATGTTGGTATGCAATGACAGTATTGACTACGACGCAGCTTCAGCTTCCGACACGTATGATGCACCGGGCTCTGAGGAACACTAGTGCGATGTAAACCCTGAACCCCTAAAACCCTCATAATTCTATGTTTGGCTGTGAATATTGTTTCCAAGCCAAAAACCTAAAACCCTAACTATTCTGTATTTAGCTGTGGCTTTTTCTTCAAAGCCCTAAACGCCTAAACCCTAAGCCCGTAAAGCCCTAAGCATTCCTCTCTTTATTTAGCTGTGATTTTCTGTTTAAAATAAGCCCTAAACCCTGAAAGGAGCCGTTGAAGGAACCTTAAACTCTAAACCCTTAAAGGAACATACGATAGGGGCCTTAATAATTACCTATACTATTTTGGGGGTTCCTTCTTATACTATAATGATAGTTTAATTTTCCCAAAAACCCTATTCTAATTGTTAAGGCCCCTACATAGGAGCCTTTGGGAAAACACAAAACCTTAAACCCTAAACCCCTAAACCCTAACTAAAACCCTAAACCCCTAAACGCCTAAACCCTAAACCTTAAACCCCAAACCCTAAACCCTCTAAGCCCTAAACCTCTAAACCCTAAACCCTAAACCTCTAAACCCTAAACCTCTAAACCCTAAATCCCCTAAACCCCTAAAGACCTAAACCCCTGAAAAAGAAAAGAGAGACCCGTGTCCGACACCCAGGCCGAGAGCCGATCTCCTCCCGGGAGGCCGCGTCCGTGTGCAGGGCCGCTCGCTTAGCGCTTCTTGGGTTTAGGGTTGGTTTTTAGGGTTCAGGGTTTAGGTTTTTGTTTTTTTTGGTTTAGGGTTTAGGGTTTTTTTAGGGTTTAGGGTTTGGGGTGGTTTAGGATTTTTCTAGGGTTTAGAATTTAGGGTTTAGAGGGTTTGGGGCTTTGGATTTAGGGTTTAGATTTGAGGATTTAGGATTTAGGGTTTAGGGTCTACGTAGGGTTAAGGGAGCACCGGGTTGGGATTTGCTGGGGTTTGGTGCGCTTTTCTCGTGGTGCTAAGGGGTTTTAGTGTTCTTTTTACGGCTCCTCTTCAGGCTGCTAGTTTAAGGCCGTTTCAGAGTTCATTGAAGGGTACTACACGGGTCAGGGTTTGGCTGCTTATGCTTCGGGTTTGGAGGTTTGCGAGGTTCTTAAGATTCAGGTCTTGAGTCGTATAAGGTGTGGTTTTAAGGTTTAGGAGTTTAGGGTTTGTTCTGTGGGCTGTTAAGGCTTTGGCCAAGGGTTTGTAAGCTTTTTTGTAGTTTGGATGGTTTGGGGGTTACCCAAGGTCTTCAAGGCGTCTCATACAGACATCATAATTCAGGTTTAGCGCGGTTTTGCGGTTGCTGGATGCAAAGTGTAGTAATATTGGCATTTAGGCTTCAAGGACTACCAGCGCTTACAATTGAGGGGGCTATAGATGTTTAGCAGGGCTGTATGTGGGGTGGCCTACATCGAGCTCTGTAGAAGACAGGGATACTATTAATCAAAATCAAAAGTATGCTCTTTCCAGACGACACAAGGGGCATTTTATGTAAACCCTCGTAAGCCATTGTTGAGAGCCTATTCTAATTTGGCAACCTCAAAGTCCGTTGAAGCCGTCGAAAATCACGATCAAAACTTAACCAGTCGGAATAAATGTTTCGAAACATCATTAGACAAAGTTCATCAAAACCTTTCTTCAACCCTAGAATCAGGGATCTCATTAGAACAAAGACTAAAAGCCTCAGAGATATCTTAACCTTACACCCTAAACCCCTAAACCCCTCAATCCTATACACTAAACCTTAAACCCTAAACTTTAGGGTTTAGGGGTTTTAAACCCCAAAATACCTAAACCGTGGAATTCATGGACACCTTACTTAAAGGATCATGGGACTTAGTCATTAGGGTTATAAATATTAAGGTAACTATACTTTTAATTACTTATAACCCCAATTAATTAGGGTACTTATAACCTTACTTACTAAGTCCCATGATCCTCCAAGTACCGAGGCTTAGAAGTGAACCAGGAGATCAACGGGCAGACGGGCACCCTGGTGGTGCTTCGGCCGCGCTTGGGGTGGCCTTGATACCCAGACCTTCCAAAATCCCTTAATTAAGGAATATACCTTAAATCATAT